ATCAATTCTATGTGTTAAATACCAGCAACATAATTTGTGGACTTTAATTTCCAAAATTAGTTTGAACCACAGTGAAACTCAGAGTTCTCTCATCATACATGATATTAACAAGTCTGTAGTTTAACAATGTTAACTTTACATCGCATCATCATTCAAGTTTTTGACATCAATTCTGAATGTTAAATGTCAGTATTAAACATAATTTGTGGAATTGAATTTCCAAAATCAGTTTGAATCACAGTGAAAACTCAGAGTTTTCTCATCAATCATGATATTAAAAAGTATGAAGTTTAAAAATGTCAATTTTAAAACAATGTTACTTTACATCGCATCATCATAATCAGCATTCAAGATTTTGGCATCAATTCTGAATGTCAAATATCAGTAACATAATTTGTGGAGTAACTGGACTTTAATTTCCAAAATCAGTTTGAATCACAGTGAAAACTAAGAGTTTTCTCATCATACATGATATTAAAAAGTATATAGTTTACAAATTTCAATTTTAAAACAATGTTACTTTACATCGAATCATCGTAATGAGCTTTCAAGTTTTTGGCATCAATTCTGTAAGTTAAATATTTGACACATATTGACAAGGATTGACGCCTTCAAATCAAGTAAAAAAAAAAGTTTAATTCAGAAAAAACGAAACCGAGAATTATCGATATTTTATCATAACTTAATCACAATTAATAAATACACATATTTGTAAAGCTTAGATCCTCCTCTTTTATTTAATGCAACTAGCATGATGCATGTTTCACGCATGAGTGATCAAAATAAATTTGAAGAAAGGATACCAAAAAGTCATAAGGCGGACGGTATCTGAATTTCAAAGATAAAATCACATTTATATAAAGTTCATTTTATGCCCTTTAGTATGACACCTCAATCAGGAAAAATGAGCTAGGAATAAAAAGTTATGTTTGTTTAAAGTAATGCTTGCATTTCCATAATTTCATTAAACGAACTCTTTCCCCTGGCTGCCTGCCGTACCAACAAACATAATTGACAAAAGGCTTAACACCGTTTCGTTGACAATCAGCCATGCATGAGGTCTTTTTTTCTATGTCTGATCTTCAACGAAACAGAGTTGTCAATTGTGTGTGTTGCTACGGCAGTCAGCCAGTGAAAGCGAGGTCATTTAATCGTGGACCTACTACAAATGGACACTGATCGGTACCATAATACATGCATGCACCTGATTCTGTCAAAAGTATCATAATGACATTCCAAACATGCTTCCAAGCTCTGATCTCATCACGACCGCCGCCAGTCAGCCATAAAAAAAAACAGAACTATGCCTGGAACTCTAAAAAAAATGCCTGCGCAAAAGAAGCTGAATCGCTTAAAATCACGGAAATGTATGTGCAGTTGTGGCGTACATTATGAATATTAACGTATATGAAGTCTTCACTAGAAAATTAGAAGTAGTTAACACGAGAAACCTGTAAATTTGGTTGTAACACAATGATTTTAACTTCATTTTAAAACATATCCTATCCATTTCCAAGGAATAGAAGGTAATATGACGGTAAAGAATAAGTATTTTTCAAACTTTTAGCGCTTTAGAAGTTAAGGGCAACTGGGCTAATACTAGGGTAATACTATTACTTTGTAGTTACCTTAGACATTCCTTGGAATTGATACGTGCGCAATATGAAGGTAGCTTTTTTTTGGGGGGGGGGGGGGGGGGGCTTGGCGAGGTTACAGGGGGAGAGTATTTTTTCCTTTACAGAAGGTGATAAAGTTATCGTTGTAAGGGCATCTTGGAACCTGATCATACCTGTGTGCCCTACCCACCTACATCTATCCTTGAAGTGGGGGCTCACACTCAAACAGCACATGTGTTTAGTTAAGTCAGGTGACAGTTTACACGGGAAAACCGATGAACGTAATGTAGTTTTGAGTTTTTGTTATGTTGGCGCCCATAGGGTTTTAACCGTTTACCCTATCACCAGAACAATAGTTGTCCGTGGGTAGTTATCCCGGGGTGGTTATCCGGGGGGTGGATGTCCAGGGGCTAGGTGTCCGGATACGCCTAAAGACCTTGTGTCAATACATACACAACTAAGCTGACGTAAGGCCTATGTGGTTTCTGAAAAATAAAGGAGGATTTGAAGGAGCTCACGAGGACAATTGTAGAGACGGCAAAAGCGAGATTCACATAAATACCACAAACACAAAAGACACCCAAAATGTTGTTCACAGAACATTACAATTGATTAAAAAAAAAATTGCTATAAACTGAATCATATGCTAAGCTGAAATTCAATCAATCATATATCCCTGCAACACAAACGTCAACCTTACAGTTAGTACTCCAATTTCTCCAAGCAGAGAGATATAATAATGACAGCTTGGTCTGTAAAGTGGATTGGTTTAGGGGAGGGGTTGTTTCGCCTTGTCCTCATGATGTGACTTATTCAACGTAACATCACGCCGGACTAACACCATGAGAAACATAATGTAAGGCGGTCTTTATAATGTTAAAACGGAGACAGACTTATTATACGGCATTTACACATGGGACGAAATTACATACAAGACAAGTAATGTAACACACAAAGAGATTAATTTCTTGCAAGTCGGAGGCTTCAAAACCATTAATCGGAAATTGGGAGTTTTTTCCATAACAAAATCCATCAAGTAAGCAAATTTTGTCATTAAAAAAAAAAATCTTTGAATCTTTCCCATGCATAATGTCCCTTCAGAGGTGTTTTGATTAGCAATTTAGAGCCAAAATAAAAGTACGTAATCATAGGGTAGACGGGTCTTTGGTGGAGAAATTGCAACCCGTTATGTACCTTACTTTAATAAATTAGAAGATTGATTTAGCCTATCAATCTAAAAACTGTCATTTTGTGCATAAATATTATTTAATTTAAATATTATCTTCGGGGTTCGAAATAGCTCACAGGGAATAGGGACGTCATCACATCGTGACAGAGGTGCCATTATGATTTATTTTGTCTAGCATTACGAATGCCATCGCTAAAGAAAAGATTTTACAAAGAATTCGATGTTTGCACTCTAAACATTGCAAACTAAACATTTTTAAAGCAAATTTTATGTTCATTCATCAATTCAGTGCAACCATAAGTTGGATTCCAACCTTTCACAAATTGTTGGCACAAGTAGGTCGATTTAGTTTTTATTTGGAGGGTCTGCGCCTGACTAGGGTAATAGCAATTCGTTGTCTGTGTAACATACCCGTGCTATGTAGGATGGATTCCCATTGGTATAATTCACTGACTTCATTTTCAGCTGCTAGGTAGCCCTGAAACCTTTTCAAAATTGGTACATTTGTAATACTGATTATAAATGTCTGCTTTACAATCCTGTGATAACCGGGTCTTCCACATTTAGACAACAGGCTCTGTTTCTGTAGGCAATCTCATTGTTAGGATAAAGAAGTATCGAGGAAGAGACAGATCACAGTCGAGCTTCTTGATTAGAATATTGAGGCACCCTAGAAGCAGGTGATGCATTGGATTGCGGTGTAGATATGGGGGGGGGGGGGGTGTGATATCCCATTTATAATTTCTGTCAGCGGTAAGTGAAACACTATTACTTTCAGTCCTTGTCATCAAGTTTTTTTAAAAAAACTCACAAACTGTTTTTAGCCTCGTTGACAGTTTCTTTTAATTTTAAATTTCTCTTTTCTTCAAGGAAAATGTTTTGCGAAATTGCTAGTGCATTACACTCTCCCCATTAACATCGTGTTCCGATCCTGGAGAAGTGAAATCACAATTCAACCTTGTTGGTAGGGAATATCGAGTGCACCATCATCATTTCTCTATAGTTTAAACGTTATAACGTTAATTAAAGAGAGGAATTCGAACGTAATTGTGCTCCTGAATTCCACCTGTTTTATGATTAAACGCATTTTGAATAAGAATATAGCCTCAACAAAATGTTTTTTGTTATTATGGTTACGAAATAAAATAATTAGTTAAACGTTGCTATTCCGCTTGTTATCTCTCAAGTAACAAAGACACATACACATACGCACACACACGCACACGCGTCACACACGCACACGCACACACACACACGCACACACACACACATACACGCATGTATGCGAGAGAGAGAGAGAGAGAATGAGAGAAAGAGAGAGACATACAGAGAGAAAGAGAGAGATGAGAGAGAGAGAGAGACCGAAACAAAGAGAGAGAGAGAAAGAGAGAAGGCCAGGGAGAGACAAAGAGAGAGAGAGAGAGAGAGAGAGAGAGAGAGATCGAGAGATCGAGAGGGACAGAGATCGAGAGAAAAGGGAAGATAAATGTATATATAGAGAGAGAGAGAAAGAGAGAGAGGGGGGGGGGGGGGTAAAGTAAGGAGTGACACATGATTGCACATATCATTAATAATAATTCCAAACATAACATTTCATGACTAAACAGTATCATGAGAAAGCATCATTCTTTTTACTGCTACTTTGAATGCAAACTCTGAGTGAATCTTTCATTTGATCCAAATGCAGGGAATTCCGGGCCACTTTGTATTTATTGATAAATGTGCCGAAGCAGTTTTGGGATTGGATAGGTGAAATTTATTAGACTGTCTTGTTGGATAAGAATGTAGGTCTTTGTATATCTTTAAAAGGGCAGCTAGAGCAGGAGGCAATTGGGAGTGGTAAAGACGAAACATAAAGAGTGCATTCTGTAAAAATTTGATACCAAAATTTTGAGGGAATTCAATTTAAAAAAAAAGGGGGCGCTGTGATCTCTCATAGCGAGAACCAGTACAAATACGTCTTGACTCTTTTATATCCTAGAATTGAATCGTTTAGACATTTCGAATTTGCCCTTATTAATAAGAAAAACTGAGTATCCTATGTGCCTTTGTCACTCGCAGAAATATAAGCCTTTAATTATTTATATATTATCCACATTTCTTTTAGATCCCTTGTTGACCATACATTGCGATACAAACGAATATCACTAGCGATATTGTTTTCGATACTACATCCGCAATAAGTAATATATTTAGCATTATTCCCTAATTTCAGTTGGGTTAATACAGGGACCACCAGTTTCCAGTTGGGGATTGGTTTCAGGGTTTCGCTCAAACAGTCTCTCCCTCCAATCCTCCATCATCTGTATTCGTCACTGCTAGGCAATATGAAATGGGCAGTTGTAGAAAGACAGAATAAACATCAAGCGATCCTTGACGACCTCTTTACTCGTGTACATAGGAAGTTTCAGTGTGCGGTCATAGTCGTCGTTATCGCAGCAGTGGGCCACTGGACACAATCTCGACAACCTGTCTTCGCTAGACGCCTCGTCGTCGTGATCGTCGACGGCACGGTCTCTGGGGATCGGGAGTTCAACGATGGTGAGGCTGAGGTTCTGCAATCCACCGATCGGTACGCGATCAGACCCCGCCACAAACACTGCATGAAAACGAAGCACAGACATGCATTGTAATTTTGGGCCACAGACAAAACGTAACTTTGATTTTGCTTTAAAGGGAGAGGATCGACAGCCCGCCCCCCCCCACACTCAGTGTTATTTAGGGTAAGCATATGCATGTTCCCTCCTTTTGAAAACACCCCCTAAATCCGGTGTGTAAAGTCAATACGGGCCGGATTTTTGTGTACTACGAGCCGGACTTTCGTACGTGAAAAGTTCCCCTTTACCGGACATTTTGAGAACACGCATGGTCTCCTTCCGTTCATGGAGTGGGGGAGGGGGGGGGGGGGATGGGGTCGAAAGTTTACATTTGTAGAAGGTCGTAATTCGCCGACACCAGACTTTGTGGAAATATCATTAATGGATGTAAAAGTCTGCACATAGCATATTCGTACGTAGTCCATGAAGAAATACCACCTAGTCTCTCGGAGAGTGTATGGCTAAGGAAAATGTAAGATAATGACTTTTATGGGGAATGGGTGGAAAAAGACATAGCATTAAATAAGGTCTGTTATCATTATTATCATTCTCATTATTATTATCATTAAAATTAATACTGTGGATTTTTTAATTTTTGTTATTTGTTAGATTTTTTTTTATTTGTTTGGGTGTTGTTGTTGGTGATCCAACAGGTGTCGGCAACAGGATTTCAATGAGTTAAATGTTGGATAAACGAAAAGCACAACAATAGGTGCTCGGGAAGAGAGGAAGTCGGGGGGGGGGGAGGGGGTTGGGGGCTTCTAGTTTTTGTAGAGAGGCAGACGTTGTGGGGGGGGGGCAACATGTCTGTCTGTGATCTCGTAGCAGGAAAAGATGTGTCTGTAGCATATAGTATCAAGACTCAGCCAAAGTTTCCCTCTTACCTAGAAACTTTCTTTTCTGGTCATCGTCTAGAGCGTGAAAGACTTCCCAAAACATCTTGATGGTTGAATGCGAGTCCGTGTAGGGCGTTATATAGCTTGTAGACTGGAGAATTTTAAATGAAAAAAAAATAACGCTTACTCTTTTTACCTGGAAATTATCCATTTCAAACATTCTGAAGCATTCAAAGTTTCAGGTCTCACAGTAATGCGTAAAGCGTATGGTCTACATGTCACGTGTTCGAAAGACTTTTTGATATATCAACTAAGGGCAATGTCAACACCCCGTTGTATTGCCTAAAAAAATCGTGTAATTTCATATTATTGTGATGTTCACATATTTCAATAGATGACGCATAAGGCTATACCGAAATTGGCCAAGGTTAATATTGAGCAAATCTAGGACATCCTGTTCTGCATTGTTGTCTCCTCAGTTACTAGATAGCAAAACCTAAGGATTTAAATTTATAACAATTTTTAAAAATAAAGTGCCTTCATTCGCCGTTCTCCCCGAAGATATATAGGGTAATTAAATGATGTGATCTTACAACTGACAAACTACTGGGTAAAAAAGTGCCATCGATAGTAATTATATTTTTCCCCAACTTTAGGTATGGGAAGTAAATATTCTATATTTTGGCCCCTAATTGGACAAACATTTACCCTAGTTGTGTAAAAAAAGAAATGCCTATAGTTGGTTGGATACGTAATTAACCTCGTGCCGGGCAATTTTGTATCCAATTACTTAGGAGTGATCTTTGGTTTTGGAAAGTGGCAGATCCATGCGTTTAATTTAGCTAGCCATTACTGACATCATACGAGACCGACAGCTCATATCATTGACAGCCCACAAGACCAACGAGAAGTCAGTCTTGTGTCAGTCTCGTAGGCCGGCCGTCACCTGTGAGAGTCTGGTAACTTCGGCTAAGAGCGATAGACTTTCCTCTCAGAACATACCGCTTGAATTCATTAGAATTCAAGAACGGGACATCGTTCTTTTAATAAGGGTAGAATAGAGGACCGTTGTAAAATAGGCCTATAATAATTTCAAGTTTCCACCTTTAAAACATTTCACAAAATACAGTTGGTTATTGTGTTTTGAAAATATATACATCGTTTTGCATACGGATTTATGTTTATGGTATCGTAGGCCTCTCTTATGGAAAAATCACAGTGTTACCACATAGTGAACCACACTATGTACCACATAGTCAAACACAATGTGGTACCACAGCGTGCTACCGCATGTGGGCCACATGTGGAAATATGCTTGAGGACCGGTTTAATATCAAATGGTCCAACTGGAGATATGTTATCAGTCAGTTATCGACTGGTCCAACAGGAAATAAGCTCACAGACTACGTGGATATTATTTTGTGGTAAACCACATACATGCTCTCAAATTCTCACACTGACAATATACTGTGATCACAGAGTTTGCACATAGTTAAATACAAACCATACTGTTGTAAATATGTGTCACGTTGTGTTAAATATGTACGACTATGTGGTAAACCACATGATTTGAACCCCAAACTGTGACTATACTGTGAACATAGAGTTAATACATAGTTCAATACATATACCACTGTGGTAAATATGTGGTACTCTGTGTCAAGTATGTCAGTTTATGTGGATATTATGTGGTAAACCACATGGTTTGAAACTTCACACTGTGACAACAATGTGAACACATAATGCCCACACAGTTTACACATAGTGGACTATGGGAACTTAGTGTGGCAACACTGTGATTATTCCATAAGGGCTGCCATACTGCCATACAGCCTACCTTCTCAAAGGCAACCCAATCGAAGTATTTCTCGCCATTGACGAGGGCCTCGAACTCGACAGGACTAAAAGTACCCAAGACTCCGATGTCACAGACTTTGTTGAACCCTTGTTGGAAGGCGGCAAATTGCGATGGAGCAAGGTAATCTCGTACCTTCTTCTTCACATACAGGTGTCTATGAGAAAAACGAGGCAGATCAGATGTTAAAGGTACTTTGTCCCATTTGCAGGCCCCAAAAATGAAAAGGTTAAATTCCAATGGCATTTTAAAGATAATACTAATTTAGAAATCCCCTTAAACAAAAGGGGCTTGAAAAGGTCTTTAAGTGGGAAAATAACGACTATTAGTTGTCAAATTGACTTAGGAGCTATAGAGCCAATAAGTTATAGTCTTGATTTCAAGACCATTGTACCGCATGGTCGTACGTTATATGCTGCGCAAAGATTCAATCAGTTTATTTTTGGCCATTACAAGAAGTGGGTTATTGATGTAGACAAATGCTCACGTACCCTTACAGCCCATTTTATGTATGTTATTACCGAAGAAGAAAAAAAGCCAGTCAGTCACTCAATAGTGTCTGGCAGTGAAGTCTAGCAAGTAAACGGGTTTCCTTGCATAATTCGAATATTAGGACACTGCTAACGTTTAAATTTCAAAGATAGGACATACATGACATATTCATAATTCCTTCAAAGTTCTACAGAATTTGAGGGTGACTGCAAAAGGGACATAGTATCTTTAAAGGAAACCTCACCCCAAAAAATAACTTTACTTATTCTAGATTTATTATATTCTTGCCCATTAATCTACAAAGTGTATGGGAGAGGCCTGAAGCAAGAATAATGTATAGTTTCTCAGCATTACATGGGCATCGACATTTTCTTGATAACGTGACGTACTATGTAAAGTCGTTTATGAAGCAAATGCATCGACATTTATGGATGCTTCCTTCTCAGGTGTGTGTGGTGATCAAGCATTTCATTTACCTGCTACATGTATTATCCTTTTTACTACAATTGCCAGAACGCAAATTGCATACATAAGTTGGTGCTCTTCTCGGATGAAGGTTTCCCATAAATGAAAAAGATTTTCAACTGCTTTAATTAAGTTATTTAATGAATTAGTTACAATATTATTGTTTCTCTGTTATATATTTTCCACTAGTTGTAATTTCTATCTTGTCAGCTATGATCGTCTTTACGGCCTTACGAAGAGCAACATGGACACACGAATTCAACACGAAAAGGAACATTCGCAAGGTCTTCGGGCAATTTTTTGGCATGCCAAAGATTTTGCCACCGCTCACGAAGTACTGTTGCTCCTGGAGCCTGAAAAACTCCACTAGCGGTCATACGATGGCTTAAGATGCCCTCACGAATGGCCCGATGTTTTTACGGTCAGAGCCGAATTTGAACATTTCCTACATCGTGTGTCCATGTGGTGTCAACTTCGAGACTGTGGGACGCGGGCATTGAATGTGAAGTACAGAGCCTTTGCAGTATGCTGTCAGCCTAGTCTCACTGTGCAGACACTGTTACGCACAGCGACTGACATGAGTTTGTGGCTGCAAACTATTTGACACGGCCATTTACAGTGCAACCTAGGTTTTCTTACACATTTGCTTTGGTGACCTCGACTCTGTCTCCATTTTCTACCTGTAGCTCGTCACCACGGCAACTCCCAGACACCTCTTCCTCCGTCTCATGCAGTCGTTTCGACATTTGATCTGCGAAGTCCTTGTCCAGCTCTCTAATCTCCTCCATTTCTTCCTTGGGGCTTAAGATCAACCATTTAAATAAAGAAACAGGCATGCGTTATGTAAAGAACATATATATATTTCAGGACATTGTCTCAAAAAGAGTGTCGATTGGTCAGAATTAATTTCAAGTCCCCCAGTCAATACTAAACGTAGTTGCCATTGATATCTAGTTGCAGTATATGCAAGGCTGACTGTGTGAACAATTTCTTTTAAATCGAGTAATAGGTACCTGGAACAGTTTACCAGCTACAGGTGTTGATATCGATCAGTACCTTCAGTGGATTCTTTTCAGAATCGGCATGATAAACCGCGGATGAATGCTGTTTTTGTGTATGATTTTGATAAAGTTAGACTGGTAACTTACATATACTCATGTCACACTCGGAGTGCATTTCATACTGATTGGCCTCACCCCTTTCATGGTTGTTTTGTTCTTAGCTTCGATTTTCTATTGGAACCACACTTTCTCCTTGCCACATGCGAATATGCAGTGGAATTTGTTTCTAATTACTCGAGAGGATGAAGAAGCTGTTTTCATTCGAAGTGATCGAAAAACAAGCTTTCTACGTCTTCAAAAGCATCGTTGATTAAAGTAAAGTAAGTAGTAGATAATTAATGAGTGATTGAATTGAAACACAACTTCTTATTAAGACGGTAAACCCTAGTATTAAACAGAAGAAAGAATACTATAGATACTATATTATCTTGGTCCTCATTGTGTTACTTGATAGGAGCAATGTACGACACCAAGTTTTAAGCATTGTCTACTTGGGGGCGGAGAGGTGCCTGAATAAGTAAAGTTTAGTTTTTAAAACAGGCCACACCCCCATTCTTTTGCAATTTGGTTTGATTTGATTTGATTTGATTTTCTTCTGCATTCATGTAAGTGAACAGTTTTTTGATAACAATAATAATATATAGTACAATACATTTTTTTTTACAATGAATCATAAATAAGCAAATACATACATACATACATTATATATATATATATATATATATATATATATATATATATTGTTATTTTCAAAAACAAAATGATAAACTGTCATGAATATAAAATTACCTCAAACATTATGAAATTATTTGCGGAATAAGGACTGTCATTGTAAATTGTGAATTTGCCGCCAAGGCTTGAAATATCCCACTACTATTAACCTCACCTGGGTGGATTGTGGGAATCATGGCAACAGTTTCGCGGTGATGATTCGAAACCCACCATCTATGGTTCAAGGTACAGTAGCGGACTCATCCATTGACCACGACACTTCTTACAATTATTGTAAAATTATTTTAAAAACAAACTGTTCCTACCCTTTTCCAAGCAGCTTCGCATAGAGTAGTTGTGGGAAAGCTGGCAATGGTACAAGTGCGTTGTTGAACAACGACAGCCCAAACAACAGACCACACATCTTCGCTGTATCCTTGGTGGGACATTCCTGTTATATTCAAAAAATTATTATCTGGTATAAAGCAATGATTAAATTTAACGTGCATTATTGCACACAAAATGATACTGATTGCATGAAATGGTGTACTTAGTATTTAGAGCGATACTGAACTGATGTACTTTCTGCCATAGCGTACTGTTAATTGCACAGCGTCATCTTATAGTCAACGTTCATGGTCTAAGTTCACTGAATATGCAGTTGGTCAGGAAGATCACATTTTACTATTTAGTATATCCTATGATATTCTATCCTTTATCTATTTTCACAATTTTGAAGTACATAACAACATTTTTGACAGTTTTTGAAGACCTATGATTGTCAGTTCTTGGTTTTTGTTGTAATAACTTTAATTTCTTCATGATCTTGGCTACCGATCTATAACTTTATAATAGAGTAAGCCGTTATAAGTTTGAGGACGATTTGATAATCCCTTCACATATTTTGTCTGATGATATATAATCCTTGTTTTGTTACCTTGCAAAACTTTTCGTGAGGCAGAGTGCTTGAATATAGCACAGGCTTTAAATGCTTCTCTAAAGTAACATTTTATAAGACTGGATTGGAGGTTAATGGGGTTCGGAACCAAATGTGATGAGTTACATGTATATATCATTTTAAAGCTTAGAATGTTACCTTTTAGAACCAAAAATAAACTAGATTATCGTTTATGGCGACTTTTCAGTGGTTTTGTGGTGCCTGATCTTCACGATAGTTACATAATTATTTCTCATGAAATTATGGATGAGGTATATTCAATCGGATGCCACTAAAACCATTGACATTGATTAACACTTGAGGAAACTATGGCTAATTTCGAAAAAAATCGCGAAAATAGGTTAAGCCAAAATAGTTCAGTCTGGAATTTGAGCAAAGCGCAAATCAGGCATCAGTTGCAGTTAGCAATAATTGATTTCATCCATCAGTTTATCTTTAGCTTTACATCTGCAAGCGTGCACCCCTACCCCTCCCACACAAATATGCACTCACACGCACATGATGTTCCAGATCATTGTCTTCTGCACTGAATTTCCATTTTCCTTTAGCGTTCTGACAGAATGTAACACAGCACAGAAGATGTTACATATGGTTCCGATTGTTATAAAAGAAAGATAAAACGAATCATTTCCTTTGTTACATGTCTATCATCATACTTTCATGATGTGTTGCTCTCTGACGCATGTGGAAACATGTAGTGTAAGGCATGTCGATATAGTTCATATCGACATGTCTCTGAAGAAAACAAGGTACTACCTGTGTCAATTAATGTTTCCTTTCTTAACCCATTGCCTACTGGGACTCTATGGCAATAAATTAATTTAGTAGTCATTGGGTTAAATGCATCGTTTAACAATGTTAAATATGATATGCATGGCCCTACGTGTTATCAGTGTCTGTGATATGGTGTAATATCTGAGCCCTAAACAAATTGCGCTTCAAAATGATCAAGAAGTGCCTCAAAAACGTAATAATCTTTGAATAACCGGTTTTACCATACTCGTTTTGCCGAATAGACTTTAGTGTTAAAAATTGGTAACTCCAATCATAAATATCTTGATAATCAGACAGGCGATCGGCTTGTAAAAGACATGGAGTTCCTGACTGACCTGAAGGTTTATAATTATCATTGCAGCATTGCAGAATCTGAGACAAAGTTACGGATCCCTTTAAATTTCTAATTCACCTTGCACCCGGACCCCACTCAGGGTACGCATATGCGTGTTCCCTTCTTTTGAAAACACCCCCTAAGTCCGGTGTGTAAAGTCAATTTTGTGTATGTACGAGTCGGACTTTGGTGCGTGAAAAGTACCCCTATACCGGACATTTTAGTAACACGCATGCGGCCATTCCGACCCCGGAGGGGGGGGGGGGGGGGGGACTAACACTTTGTCTCTCGGATATGGTGAATTTTAAGATGAACTAGAAATTTAAAGAAGAAAATAATGTCAATGTGAGAATCTCTTCCTGTCCCTGCATTCAATCATTCCAACACTATCCAGACAAAAATGGGTAATGATCTCTCAAAGATCATCACCCAATAAACAGAACACCAAAAAGTAACCTCTTTTGGGAGTGTATTTTAAGTGATTTTAAAGTATAGTGCCTTTTGAACTAGATTTAAACGTTATCGACACGTGCCTTCATTTAAACAAAAAGGTACACCTGTTCACGTTTTCATCTAACCTAAAAACCACCAGTTTATCACGCGACTGGAGTAACGTGATTCCACTTACCTCTGTAAATCAAGTATTTATGACCAAATAACCACTTGACCAAGCCACGAGTTTTTTGTCAGTTAACCGATGGTGGCGATAAATACGTAATTAGTTGGTCTTGTAAGCACCTTTATTGATTGGTTTCATAGGTTATCCAAGGTTGATGGTAATAATCACGTTACTTACACCGGCTAATCGTCTTATTGTTCTGTCCGTGAATCTCTGGTTATATTCAACTAATAATTCTGAGGTGTCTTACACACCTCTTTAAAAGGTTTCAAAGTTACCATAAATTTCTTGGTTATGATCACGTGGCTCAAGCTGATTACTAATCTAAGCTGTGAAAACGTGATATGTAGGTGTGAAAATTATTAAGTGTTTTAAAACACCTTTTCAAATGTTAGTCAAAGCTGCCATAAGTTCCGCGGTGATGATCTCGTGACTCAAACGGATTATTGATCTAAGCTGGTCATACGTGACTTTTAGGTGTGAAAAATTAGTCATTATTAGGTGTCTTAAAACACCTATTTAAATGGTTTCAAAGTTACAATAACTTTCTTGGTGATGATCACGTAGTTAAAACTGATTACTAATCTAAGCTGTGAATCCGTGATATTTAGGTGTGAAAAATTAGTAATTATTAGGTGTCTTAAAACACCTATTTAAATGGTAGTCAAAAGTTGCCAGCAGTTCCGCGGTGATGATCTCGTGACTCAAACGGATTATTAATGTAAGCTGGGCATACGTGACTTTTAGGTGTGAAAAATTAGTCATTATTAGGTGTCTTAAAACACCTATTTAAATCGTAGTCAAAGTTGCCAGCAGTTCCGCAGTGATGATCGCGTGACTCAAACGGATTGTTAATATAAGCTGGATATTCCGTGTTTTCCATGTGTGAAAATGAGTTATTCTTGGGTGTCTTGATGGTTTTACAGTTACCATTTAAGTTCCGTGGTGATAATCCCGTGACTGTTGGCGTATTTCTATTTTCACCAGTTGATAACTGACTGTTGGCATATTTTCATTGCACCAGTTGATAACTGGAGTGTGCATATTTCCAGTTGCACCAGTTGATGACTGAGCGTTGGCATATTTCGAGTTGACCCAGCTGACACTAATTCATTTGCATATTGAATATGGGGTGCGTGCAGATCTATGTTTTTTAAACAATTTATCTGAATTTACAGCATATTTCTTAATTACTGATGATTTAGTTATATGCAATTCATTTCGAAAATACTACAAATATAAATTACCAGTTATTAGGACATTTCGCTACTTCGTATAAATAGTTAAACATGAATAAGGGAAACATTAACTGTGAACTAAAATAATTTCAATAAAGTACAAGTATACGATTTTTTTTCGATTAATTCAATTATGTAAGTCTACTTATTACCAATGCCCTTACATTGGAAATACAGACGTACCAGTATTGAAGTATTGTTGCTGTTCAACTGGTTGGAAGTTTTACCAAATGGTTCTAATGGCTCAGCTAGACCAGTTGAATTATAACTGGCCTGGATCAACTGGATCATTTAGCCCATTTCAATTTCCAGGGTTACCAGTTGGCATTAAATGGTTCATCAACTGGACCAGTTGCAACTAGCTTTCTCTTCTGGGATGTTTGCACCCCCCCCCACCCAACCCCCTCTAATCCCAAACTGCTTCCGGCGCGCCTGGACGTAATTATGGAAGATCCCAGACACGATGTTCAGAAACGGGATGAGAAACGTCATTATTTTGGTTCATTTATTGTGTAACATTTGCGTAATTATTGGGTTGAACGCGGGTTACAGTAACAAACTTCCTCTTCGACGTAAATTTCACGTGAATGAAGAACATGATTCATCTCAAGTCAGCCTCGTAATATTCACGTGAATTTCACGCAGATATTTTGACTGAAACTATCACTAACGCTTCACGTGTTTCTGTGACGCGATAATTTCGTGTATGAAGATGTAATTTCATAACCAAACAAACACGGGAGTATTAGGTTTACAAACCATGGTCTCCAAGGTAGGGATAATCACGTTATCATAATGGTGATATTGCAGTGACAATTGCGTGATTCAGTGTACGTGTGTTTCAAGTTACCTAATGCAATAAACGTATTAACACATTTACGTAAATGTCCGGTGTTTGAAGAACGTAACTCTCCTCAAGTCGATACCTTGATATTGACGTGATTTTCACGTGATTTTGTTTATTGGGCACAGAGATCATTACCCATTTTTTTCTCCAACAGACTGTTGGAAAGATATCACAAGCAATGATAGTGGTGACGGGGGCAGTGGCGTATCCACTCAGCAAGGGTAAAGGTAGCTAGTGGAGTTCGTCCTTGTAATGAAGGATAAACCCAGTGCTATTGCGGCAAAATGAAGGGGCTACCCATTTACACTAACGGAACCCCTGCCCTGCATGTACTAGGTACAGTGTTTAATATCAAACGATAGTTCAAATCAATTATTGGTTGTAAACAGAATTTATGCAATCAATAAATGCCTGATTTGCTCTTTGATCCATTCCAAGGCTTTTTTCCGCAAACCAATTTTCGCGAGGTTTTCGAAATTAGCCAGTGCACACTCAAGCGTAAAATATATTTCCATACTTTTTGTGCCATACGATTGAATAGATCATCACCCATAATTTCATAAGCAAACTTCATACATATTATGCAGATGATATTACAATTTTTGAGGATATTTTCAAAGTGTGTATTTGTTTATACGCACTGTGCAGTGCAAAAATTGTTATATAACACACCAGTGCACGTATTAGAAATGTGTAGTGTCACGTGATACCTTCTCACCCAATAGGATGCTCTCTAAAAACAAACATTACCTCTCTGAACCAGACTTGTGACTGGGTCGGGTCATCTTCGTTGATATGTCGGAAAAGGACGCTCTTTTCCGGGTCCAGAAGTTCGTCAAACACGAGCCGGAAAAATTCCTAAAGTTTCAGGAAGGAAGTCAAAGTACACAATGCAAAGTCGTTTTTTTTCACAGAGAAAGAACAAATATGAATTTCATAACTAATTAAATGATATTTTCGTTCACCATTGGGTTATCTACTTTCATTTCATAATTTCTCATACTAGTTTTAATGCAATTTACATTTTTTACATTAAAAATTATTCAAGTGTGTATAATTATAATGATAGTGGTGGCACTGGGGATATCTTGACCAGATCTTGACCAGACTACCCCCCCCCCCCCAAAAAAAAAAAAAAAAAAAGCAGCACATACTGTTGTACAGTAGAACTAAAATATGTGAATGATTCAATACTCAATTTTGTTTGGTAGTCATTTTTTCTGTTGATTTTCAAGTTTCGGAATATTATGTGGAGGAATTTCATCGGCGTTATCAACTCGTATGTGTATGTTTAGGAAAGATATTATCACCTTTCATTTATCAAAATAGAATCCGGAGAAGATTTGTTTTACCTTACTAAACCTTTATAATACTAATCTCTTACAATATTGATATCTTTAAAATATTTATCACTTACGATGCCAATTTCTTACCACACCTATATCTTACAATGAATATCTTAGCCTACTTATCCCTCATAATTATCATCACACTGATAGTTACAGATATATACTTACCCCGTACCAAACTACTAATCCCAAACCACGCTAATCTTTCACCTTATATAAATATATGCTATATTAGTCCCTTACCATACTATTCTCTTACTATAATAATCAATAATCTCTATTTAGATTACCATACTAATCTATCATATTAATTCATTATCGTACTAATAACTCACCACATCAGTCATTTCAAAATTAATTTTTTACCATGCGTATCCCTCAGCACATTTATTTGTTACCGCACTTACCGCACTTATCCTTTACCACACTATTATTTTACCATATCCAATCTGTTATCCTACTAATTACTTACCACACTCAGTGCTCCCTCGTCAATGCCCCTTTCCCCTTCAAAGATAACCCTGAGAGGTTTCTGAAGGGTAGACTTGGGGAGACTAAACATCTTAGCGAGTTGCTCCCGGACACTCCTCCCGAAGATGTCATCCCGCTTTACCTTGAGCTTAAGGTGTGGATGAGACTTGGGAGAGGTGAGTGGGACGAGATGACGGAAAGAATAGTACAAGTATTGTTGCCATTCCATCCTTTTTCTTTCATGTTCCGTGGCAATCTGATAATTTTTATAGATATTAAAGGTAATAGTTTTAAAGTTAAAGTAAAAGTTGAGCTGTGTTCATATTGTTGCATTGTGAGATAAACGGTGTGGATGCAATTGGAAATTATTTTTGTATTATTATTAATATCTATAATTACCATTATTAATATCTATTATCATTATTATTATTATTGTAGTTATTATTGTCATTATTATCATTATTGTTATTATTACTATGATTATAGTTGTTATTGTCGTTATTATTATCATTATTATTATAATCATTATCATTATCACAATCGCTTAATAGACGTCGAAATACCGACTGATATGTGCCTCCACACTTGAATTTTGTTCATTAACGCCTACACTGTACCTTTTGCTGGCTCTTGTGGCTGCTTTCTAACAGATTTGCCTTTTCCTTCAGATCAATTAGGAATGGATATGACATCGAAGAAAATTCTGTCGTCTTCTTTGTGCATGTTTGATCGTCAACTCTGTTTGTTGCTACGACAAGCAGCCAGTGAAAACGAATTTGTAAAATCAAATAATGGAAATGCAAGCAGAACAGAACTTTGTTATTCCTGGCTCATTTTTCATCATATGAAAGGACAGAAAATACCGCCCGCCAAATGACGTTTTGGTTTCCTCTCTTCAAATTGTTATTGATCACTCATGCGTGAAATATGCATCATATGAGTTGCATCAAATAAAAGAGGAGATTCTAAACTGTACAAATATGTGTCATTTATTGATCATAATTGTGATTAAGTTATGATAAAACATCGATAATTCTCGCTTTCGTTTTTTCTGGGACGCAAAGTATAGGCCCTAAATTTGCTCCATCTTTTCAGAGGCAGTTAATGGAATACCTGTAACTAGTTTACTATAAATTTGGGCATGTCATCCATGACCGATGGCGTATCCAGTATGATTGTGCCAGTTTCCCCCGCCCCCTCTCCCTCGCCCGGCACTCCCGTCTGAATGCCTTTCCCTATCATGCCTATACTGCAAGATTTAGAAAGTACATCGGTTACATTAAAGGCCGGTAAAGACCAGTTTTAGAAACGCCCCCCCCCCCTCTCAAAAAATGAAATGGTAGCTCTTATTACCAATCATATGAAAAAATATGTTATGACTAATACGTGATGATACAAGTTTTGCCGAGAAGCCGCCTACTTATTGATATATTTGGTAAATTAGTTTATTTATTTGGACGTGATAGATATTACGCACGTGTCGGGCACGTATACATCTTTCTGTGTACAGTGCTTGTAACATTACCAAGACAGGGCCAAATTTCTTTTTATTTTGATGATTCCAGAACTTTCCAGTACACACCAATACTTATATGCTACATGATCAACCTTTTCTGATCGATTCCACAACGTTTCTTTCACAATGCAATCGCATGACCAGAACTGATCTTCATTTAAGCGGGATTGTCAAATTTACATTATATTACGCTACCTAACCCACCCCCTCCCCCCCCCCACCACACCCTCCCCCCACCACACCCGGACCGAATACTACCGTTTAACAATTTTAAATCTGAGATGCATTTCGATTTCCAATCATAAATATCTTGATATAATCAGACAGGTGATCGGCTTGTAAAAGTCATGGGGTTCCTGACTGACCTAAAGGTTTATAATCAATCATCATTGCAGCACGAGCTAAATCCAGGATTTTGTTTCAGAATCTGAGACAAAGTTACCCAATCCCTTTAACCACAGCTCCACCTGCAGTTCTGGACCATACAAAGGCCACTTTATATATATATATATATATATATATATATATATATAGGGCATTTGTCTACTCTCCCTTTAGAATCAATTCAGAATTATCTGATTTTGGATGTAACAAAAACATGTAACTGATGGTATCTAGACTGAAGCAGTAATTGCAAGGAACCTCAGCCGAATGGGTGACGTTTAAAAATCAAAACATGTCGTCTCGCTAAAAGTAAATTTCATGATATTTCAACAATACACAATGATATTAAAATGGTAAAATTTGGAATTTAACGTAACTCACCACTGAATTAGCGTTTCTGTGGCACAAAATTTTGCACTGAGAAGTAGTCAAGATTTGAGCTCTATGCTTTACGACCTACGTCTATTCCTCATTTCGGTACAGCAAAACATGTCCAAGATAATCATCAAAGTAGACCCATGAACGAATATGGTCGTAACTCGATGTTGTAAACCTGTTTTTCTCAATGATTGTGGATGGAGGTTTGGGAATTCCCACGTATTGCGAAATGTAGGCATACAAGTACTTGCAATCATTAGTGTTTACAAAGCAGTTATGCTCAGGAACTGGGGAATCCCCGCCTGCTCTCGCTCTCTCTCTCTTTCTCTCTCTTTCTCTCTCTGCCTCTGTCTCTATCTCCGTCTCTGTCTCTATCTCTCTCCATCTCTCCCTCTCGCTGTCTCTGTCTCTAACTCACCTTCTCTCTCTCTCTCTCTCTCTCTCCCTCCTCATGCACGAATGCGTGTGTGTGTACGTGTGTCACGTAGCCTGAATGCAGTCCATGTTCACATAGGTTTTCGTGTATATAATAATGTCCAAAAAAGAAGAAGAAAAACACCACTAAATTTGAAATCAACTTTGTCCACCTCACTGACATTTCAATCGAGTTAGGATCTCATGGTGAATATTTATCAAAACGCTGTTAAACGTTATAAATTTATATATGTATTTTCACATCTGTTTTTATTTGAAAGCACGATAATAAATTAGCTCCTTTATGGCATCCGTCTGTTTAAATGTTTTGCTACAGTGTGGTTTCGTGCCATCTAGAGTTTAATAGTGGTTTAAACGTCGGCATTCTGTTCGAGGAGGCACGTTTCCGTTTTAAACAATAGCTAAATATTCATCACTGCTTCATGCAAACTGGTGCCGCAGGAGTCTTACTGCAAATGTATGATCGTGCTTCTCGCCATTAAAATCATAAATCACCCCTAAACATGTCTATGGTAAATAGAATAAATGGGTTTCTTTCCGTAAACTGACAGTGTGAACAAGAAATGCAATAAACGCTATTACCAACTGTATTACCAGCTGGAAAATATGAATCTAGCAAAATTCACACCATTCAATTTCAATTAAAACAAAATCAACAACAACAAAAATCAGCCTCATGCCGTATATATTACGTTTCCATCGATTGAACCCACGTACAGTGAGTAATTCAACAATCGGGTTGAACCCTACTTTACAGCCGCAAAAGTGACATTTTTACCGAATTCCACGGGCCGTTGTGTAAAACGGAAAGGCGCCTCTTTGGGGGGGGGGGGGGTCGAGATAAATGCACTGTAGCGAGAAAGAGAAAGAGAAAAGAGACGGCGGGAGAAAGAGAGGAAGAGTGAGTGAGAGAGAGAGAAAGAGAGAGAGAGAGAGCAGGCGGGGATTCCCCAGTTCCCGAGCATGACTGTTTTGTAAACAGCTGTGCATTGCATGTACGTTTATGCCTACATTTCGCAATAAGTGGGAATTCCCAACGCTCCATCCACAATAAAAGCGAAAAACAGGATTATATCATAAAGTTACGTACCATATTTTTTCATAAGTATACTCTAAAATCTATATTGGACATGTTTTGCCATACCGAAATGAGGAATAGACGTAGGTCGTAAGCATAGAGCTGAAATCTTGACTAATTCTGAACGCAAGATTTTGTGCCACAGAAACGCAATTCAATGGTGAGTTTTTATTTAATTCAAATTTTGGAATTTTTGTTATCCTTGTATATTGTTGAAGTATCATGAAAGTGACTTTGAGCCAAACGCCAGCCATTTGGATGAGGTTTGTTGCAATAACTGTTCCAGTCTAAATACCGTCAGTTTCATGTTTTTTTACATTAAAAATCAGACAATTCTGAATTGATGTTTAGCGGAGAGTGGACAAGCGCCCTATGAGTGGCATATTTATAGTCCAGAAATGCAGGCGGAGCCGTGGTTAATATCCTCCAGTCCATTTTTTCAACTGGTAATCATCTACTGGTTTCCAACTGGTAATCATCTACTGGTTTCCAACTGGTATCTACTGAAAACAACTGGTCTCAAATGGTCCACTCTTGTTTTATGGGTTTAAAACTGGAATCAACTGGTAGTGTACCAGAAAGGCCTATTGTTTTTAACTGGTATTAACTGGTGTAACAATTTAATACCAGTATGGCTAATTGGTTTCATCTGGAATTAACAGCATGCCAGTAGGGTCGATGGGTTTTAACTAGGATATACTGGTGCATGTGAAGTTTACCAGTTGTATCAACTGGTTTCAACTGGTACCAGTTGAATCCAGTTGAAACCAGTAAAATAAACTGGCACATATCCGAGTTCCGTCAACTGGAATCAACTGGTACCAGTTGATTCCAGTTACTGGAGTTACCAGTTATACTTGTACAACTATACTGGATACACCATTATACGAAATTCGTAAATCTATAGTAAACTAGTTATAGGCATTACCTTCATTACCTGAAAAGATGGGGCAAATTATTACGCTGTACATGTGACATGTCAAAAACAAGCAACGAATGACAAACAAAATGTGCCCTCTTCCCGGGCCGGACAATTATGGACTCGCCAATGGGTGTGGGTGTGTGCATGTGCGGTTGTGGGGGAGGACAACCTTTGACCCTAGACATCGTTACCCCCTTAATGTAAATATTGCCTCACGGTCCTTGCAAAATTATGCCATGTAAATCTTTTATTTCCTCGAACACAAAAAAATCTAACAAAATGCTTAGCATAAAGGTAATACTATTGATGTAGGTAAGGGTGAGGTGAAAGTGAGTTTTTTTTTTAGAGGGGGGGGGGGGGGGGGGGGGTGGTCTAAGACCAAACCGATAATCTTTTTCTTAAAGGTAAAGACCAGTTATGGTCATGCGATTGCATTGTGAAAGAAACGTTGTGGAATCGATCAGAAAAGGTTGATCATCTAGCATCTAGCATCTGCAAGGCTCTGGAATCATCAAAATGATAAGAAATTTGGCCCATTTTTCGTAAAGTTACAAGCACTATACAAAGAAAGATGTATATGGGACTACCCTATATCTCTCACAGACCATGAGAGAAACAAATTTACCAAATATATGAATTAGTAGGCGGTTTCCCGGCAAATTTTTTATCATCATGTATTATTCAAAACATATTCTTTCACATGATTGGTAATAAGAGCTTCCATTTCATTTTTTGAAATTGGGGCGTTTCCAATACTGGTCTTTACCTTTAAGTTAGTCATTTTGAAAAATACTTGTATATTCTTATATCCTACAAATTATCCACCGCCATTTCCCTTTGAATACAGTGTTTCCCCTGCAACACGATCCCGAATACTTTCGAGAAATCAATTTTAAAGCCCCACTGTCCTACTCGTAGCTACTTGCTCCTTCTATATAGAAAACTTCCTAAATCGGTGCCTGTTGGTCCCCATGGTCCTCTTTTTCTTATGTTAGTTGAGAACTGAGTTAAGGAGATAGCCACCTGTCAGTGACCTCGCTGTGTGGTCTAATCCCTTCTGGCCCAGTAGTAATGACGGTCTTTAAGTAATTTAATAGCCTTGTCCATAACCCAGTATAAATATTGAATAAGCGTATCAATGTGAATCTAAATATAATTTCAATGGAATATGCAAGGTACTGAACCTGCCCTTGAGTCGAATATTCAAATGCCTCTGTCATTTTCTTCTATGGGAATTCCCAGCTGTTGTTATTTCAAGATTTATTGACATAAAAAGAGACTGTGGGCTGTACGTGCAGAAGATATTTCGTCTATAAATAAGTACATATTGTAACAAAAAAATCATGGTGGAGTAAACCGGTTGCGGGAAATATTACCGTTGGTTTATGATGCGACAACACTGTGCAGTTTTTATACATACATCCTCATTTTTTGATGGACTTCGCTCCATAGTTCCTATTTTATAACTGAATGTAAATTGACATTTTCAAATTGAATGAATGCATTGAATCATTTTTTATCAGTTTGAAAGACTTTGATATGTTCATTAGTATTTAGTTTGTTTATTCAAATGCTACATGCATTCCAATCAACGTTTATTATTAAACAAAGAATTAATATGTTTAATATATGCATATAACAATGTCGGTGTCTTAAGTGTGGATCTGTGGTGAGCCAAGATCGTCTATTTACTTTCTTTCTGCATTGAGCTTAGGACATTATATGAGGCTATTTTCGAAAAATGCAAAGGTCTATATTTCACCTGATTTGAAAACAAATTACCTTCTATACTTGCAATACGTAATTACTATATATAAAACAGTATTTTGTTGAAACAGTCCACACTTCTGAAGAGGATACCACAAAATTTGTATACATGTACATAATACTTTCTGTGTGTTTTCTTCTGTTACTGTTATGAGTTTATATTCATGATTGTATTGCATGTATTGCGCCTCCTGGAAGTCCACCTCTACTGGTGAAAATGTGCCGCCCTCTAAAAATGTCAGAAACAAATAAATAGAGAAATGAATGTGCATAATAATGTCTCAAAAAGCACTTGCGTTTCAGAATTTGTTCGACCCGCAAAGGGATATCCATATTTTGTCCCAATCCACGTTTTAATGGCATTATCCTTTTGTGTTTTCTTAATTTAAGGGTGTAATTTGTCGTCATAAACACGTGTCTTTGCTAATATCACAGACGTATACAAACGATATTTATGTAAATGTTGTTAACATAATTAAAGGTACACCTCGCAAGGGAAGCACATCATTACGATAAGGTTCGGCCTACAAATTATTTTAACTGTACATGAGAGGCAGTTATGAGTTTTGAGAGGTAGTTTTTGTGCAAAACTAGTGACTACGCAGGGAGTCAAAGAAAGCAACCGAAGAGTTAAACTTGTAGTTCACTAAGAGTGTTGGGTATATTGCTGCTAGAGTACACAAATCTGCTTTGCATTGACAAATAATCTGTCTGGTTGAAGGAGTTTTTAGCATCCTTTGACTTTTTAATTCCCCCCCCCCCCCAACATTCGCTTGAGCCAGATGTAGTCCCAGCGGAACATATGCCCGAATGAGAGAGACTGAATATTATGTCTACTTCCTATGCTGTTATCCATACATTTCGAATAATATTTTCTTTCTTCTTTTTATCAAATAATGATTATGACAATATTATTCATTCCTGAGAGAACATTATAAATTAATCTCATTGACTTTTATTTTAGATTGACCAGTGAAGTTCTAAGATCTAAACTTTATCTATCAAGAATAAGTCATAATGTTGTCCCAATTATTTAATGATAAGAGGTTAAGAGAAATCATTCTAACTTCATGAGCAACAGTAAATACTGTCCTCAGATTATCTATATGACAGGTGCCCTAAGTATAGACATACAAGTATTTAATAAAAATTTATAATAAAGATTATTGTAACGCGATTCTTATTAACTGTTCTCAAATTAGAAACAATAAAATGGCAACATCGGAGGATAGTGATGTTGCCATGGTGCTTAGGAGAGGACCTTTAGAGAAGACACCAATAAGAGATGCATGCAGTAACTCAGAGTGCATCGCCATGGTTACATCCGAAAGGCGTGTCTACGTATGTGACCTGACAGATGCTAGCAAACAACACAAATATGGTAATTAAAAAGATATTAGGAATAACGATGATGATGGTGGTGATTATAAAGTCAATGATAATGATAGTAATAGCAATAATAATAAGAAGATGAAAAACAGGAACAAAAACAAGAAAAAGAAGAACAGCAAAAGAAAAAGAACAAGAACAAGAAGATAAGAAGAAAAAAAAGGAAAAAGAAGAAGAAGAAGAAGAAGAAGATGGGGAGGAACAAAAACAAGAAAAATAAGAACAAGAAAAACAAGAAAAACAACAATAATAAGAAGAAAAAGAAGAAGGAGAAGAAGAAGATGAGGAACTAGAACAAGAATAATAAGAAGAACAACAACAACTACAAGAACTAGAAGTAAAAGAAGAACAGCAACAAAGAAGAAGAAGAAGAAGAAGAAAGAGGAGGAAGGGGAGGAGGAGGAGGAGGAGGAGGAGGGGCATTTTTTTTTAAAACCCAGGGAGGGTATCCTTATCGGTAGTATACTTCTCTCCCTGAAGGCTTGCAATTAGGGGATAATCATTGTTTTATTAAAACTGTAGTCGTTGTGGGTCCAGATTGGCTTTGTATTTGATACAACAATTTATGAAGTTCACACGAAATATTTCATAAAATCTTCTAAGACCTTTAATAGACACAATTATAAAGGACGAATATTCATGCTTGTTAGTGCTATTTTGATTACTACTTTTCGTTCAATCTGAAGGTAAAAGAGAAGGTTTTATGTTTTTTTAAGTGGCCGGACATCCAACCCCGAATCTACTATTATCATAAACCTATTTTTATCATTGATAAAGTCAAGGTGAATTTCACGACATCGGAAGGCGATGGCAAACCTGATGTTGACATCGTGAGCGTGTGTTGTGGTCGACATCACTTCCTTGCTCTCTCTGCCGGTGGCAGGGTCTACAGCTGGGGCAAGAATAACTACGGACAACTCGGAAAGAAGAAACAAAAACGCTACAAAGGGCAGGAAAGAGAAAAAGAAGCTTTAGAGCCAAGGTGAACCAGTTTGACCATAATTCATTCATTCATTCATTTATTTATTCATATTCCACGATTTATTCAAGTTTATGACAGGGGATGTTACTTGATTTGAGAAAAAATGTAGACCAAAACAAACAGATTGAAATCTTGAACAACAACGTTATCGGAAAATGTGAAGAGGTCTACTGAGAAAATTATAGTTTATAAAATCTACCCCCTGATCATAATGTATGTCTTGTCGTATTTTTTATATATATTTATAGATATTTATTTGAAAATATTTAAGTGAACAAATGCAAGATAATAGTATACAGCAGCTATCACACTAACTCTGACGGTATCGTACGATGTCTAATTGGGAGAAAGAAACATAAAGTGATCTCCAGAGATGTTCTTGTATCCTCATTGTTAATGGAACGTTCGTTCTGAATTCATTCGTTCGAGTCGATAGAATCCAGTTTTTTATTTTTAACTTCTCTCTCTTTGCCATGCAGGCTAATCACAGAACTATCAAGCTATGGCGTCATCAAAATCGCATGTGGGGATAACCACTCCCTCGCCCTCACTCGAGGTAAGTGTTTTTACCATGATTGCACAGTTATCACTGATACTGAAATATATATATATATATATATATATATATATATATCAGTGGCGGGTTCAGGGGTGGGCACAGGGGGCACGTGCCCCCCCCCCGGTAACAAAAAAGGGGGGGGGGCGGAGAAAGAACCTGAAGGGAGAAAGGGAGAACAAAGGAGGGGCAAATAAAAAGGAGGGGAAAAGACTGAAAAGGGGAGAGAGAAAGAAGAAAAAAGAGGGAGGAGGAAAAGGGGAGAGGAGAAAATGGAGGGGGAAAGGAAGAAAGGGGAAAAGAGAGGAGGAAAAGGAAGAAAGAGGGGGGGGGGGGGGGGGGGATGGAGGAGCGAAAGGGGGGAGAATAAAGAGAAGGGAAAAGAAAGAAAGGGGGCCAATTCGTTGGAAAATATTTAGCGGCGAAATTACAGCCAGCCGCTGAATAAGCGGGGGAGGGGTAAGGAGCACTCATTTGTTTTGCCCCCCAAAAATATAAAAATTCGCATCCCCCTTGAGGCCCAGGGGAGGGGGCCCGTCACCAAATAAAAGTAAAAATAACGTGTTTTTAACTGTTTTTCCCAGAGGAGGGGGCCGGGCCCCCTCTCTAGATCCGCCTCTGCTACACCCCCCACTGTAAAAGGTCTAGCGACGCCCTAAGCTTATAACAACACAGTTTATACGCTAGATAACAAATTTGCAAGTACTCCTGGTGAAGTACCAGACCACCGTCTTTGTGTATTGTGCAGCAACACAGCATATACTACGTTTCGCGACATGAGAGATCACTTTTCTCTAACTTCTAACCAACCAGAAGGCCTCGTTTTTTTCAGGAAGTGCCGATGGACATTGGGGTGGTGGACATTAATGCGCCAAATGTGGTTATCAAATTGCAAATGCTTCCTACTCAGGGAGGGGGTTCTGACACTGCTTGAGAAGAACAACAAAGTCCACCCAGTACAAGTAAACATATTTAGAAAGAGTCCAATACCACCATATCTTATAGATCTTCTTAATAATAAATAATTGGAATCATGCATTTTTGTATAATGTATATATTTACAATAGTTGAATAATATTTTCATCATTATTTAATGTTTAATACGCACCGAACTATGATTTAGTTTTAACGTAGGAGACTACATGTTTCACAAACCATATTGGAATATGTTTATCTTTGTACAGAGCTATAAATATATAATTATGTACTTACCATTGATGAACATGCAACATAGAGCAACATTTTGCTGATTTTAAATTTTCAATGAATTTTAATTGTAAAGGACACAGGTGCAATAATTTCAGCATAAGCTTTTTGACTGATTTATATATTATGTATTGTATTGATTATTATAACTATTGTTAATTTGAATGAAATGTAAATAGTATTATAGTATAGTATACTATAGTAAATAGTATGTTAAGTACTACCAATGCTGTTTGAATGATTGTAACAAATGAAATAAGATTTTACGTAACCATGCACAATTTAGTATTTTTGCCTTGAGGCATTGTCTTTCAATAAAATCCATTATTGAATTGAATCCATAATCTGTTTTCCACTCATATGGAATAAATTTTAATGTTCGAATGTAATACATTTTTAGTTTGAATATATTTTAGCTCTTTGTTTACCCCCCCCCCCCAACAAAAACAAAACAAAACAAATCTGTATATTTTCCCGTTGTTGTTGACAGATGGACGCTTATTTTCCTGGGGGAGTAACGGCAATGGCCAGCTCGGCATCAAGCAGGAGCGGAGTACTCGACACCACAACGCCGTACCGACTCAAGTTGAAGGCCTCGCAGATGTTACATTGCAACATATTGCCGCTGGGGGCGCTCACACTGCCGTTGTTTCCTTAACTGGTTCTGTCTATGTATGGGGCAGTAACTCGCACGGACAACTAGGCCTCCTAGTAACACAAGGTAAGGTCAATGGCTTATATGCTATACAGTGGGTGGAACTAGAGCCATCTAGGCATGTATGCAACAGTTGGACACAATATGGCGACTACTGCTTTTTGGGGCAAGCACAAAACAAAAGAATATATGCCGTGTTGTGACCCATTGAAACTAAGTTGGCCAAACTCTGTGTATAGATGGCTCTGTGTGATACCAGGGCGAAACGCCCCCAGCTTTTAAGAAACAAAACAAAACAAAACAATCGAACAAACAAAGTAAAATCAAAAGCTTTGGGGAAAACCATCATGCGCCGCTTATCCATAAGGCACTTAGGAAAAAATCTATAATAATCTGGTTAAAAGAAAGTTATATTCATTTTTTAGTTTGTCTCTGTAAAGAGGTATGTATGTTTATTTGTACCAATATTTGTTCCACCATATTCGTATTATTATGTATCCATCGAGGGTAGTCATGCTATCAAGATTTGCTTACTCTGTCAACCCTCCTGTTTGATGTTTTCGATTAGTTACTTTATTCAACATTATATTTTTCTGAAATGTGTACAATTTGCAATGTTTTGTTTGTTATATATTTGTAAAAATGCAAAAGAAAAAGGAAATCAAACAGAAATAAATAAATCAAATCAATCAAATAAAATAAAATCAAATGTGAAACAATAAACTGACACTAATATACTTTATCTCTTTGAAGACAAAATGAGAAGGCAGATAAAGATATTGTTACGCCATTTGTTTTGGTCTAGATGTGAAGATACCTTACAAGTTAAAGCTAGTTAGGGAAGGAGTGAAGCACATCTCTTGTGGAGAAAATTCTACCAGTTTCTTGTTTAAGGTAGGTTGACTCTTTTCTAAAAAGATCGAAACAAATTGTTTTTTTGTTTTTTCTGGTCTAAAATTATCAATTTAACATCAAGTGCGGGTATTTGGAAGCTATAAAGGATTTAACAGTGGGATTAACACTCATAAACTGTGGATAATAATAAATAATAAAAATAAATAAATTAATTTTGGCCTTTGTAAGAAGTGGGTTACTGATGGGGACAAATGCCCATGTACCCTGAACAGCTCAGTTTATGTATGTCATTACCAAAGACAAAAAGAATTCGGTCAGTCAATCAATAGTGTGTAACAGTAAAGTCTAGAAAGTAAAACGGGTTTCCTTGCATAATTTGAATATCAGTACACTGATAACGTTTACATTTTATAGATAGGACATAGGTGGCATATTCATAATTCCTGCAAAATTCTACAGAATTTGCTGTTGGCTTTCATTTCGTTATATAATTTTGAATAATAATTATTAAAATAATAATGATAATACTAAATGAGTGAATGTATAAATGGATGAACTAATGAATGTATGGATGTAGGAATGAATGTATGAATTTATGTATGGATGAAAGAATAAATGAACGGATGAATGAATAAATGAATAGATGTGAAACAAATTGATGTATTAATTAATAAAAAAAGAATGAATGAATAAAGGAAGAAAGACGGAGAGAAAGAAGGAAACATGCTACGACGTAAAAATATTTTTCTCATGTATTCGCAGAATGGCGAGCTGTATGTTCTTGGAATGGGTGTAGGAATGCATCCACACCAGTGGTACAAGACTGAACTGAGCCCGGGACGAACAGATAAAACTCATCTCTACTCATCCTTGCAATCATACGGGTGCGTCTTTGACATTTCAAGAAATGAACAGAAGAACAAATTTCAATATTCTAGGCATGTTGTATATCTTACAGATATATCTTCCTCAGATGATGAAATATGTCATTATGACGTCATTCGCATAGGTGATGGATAAGGCTATACAAATTGCGTTAAGATGACTTTTGGAAGTCCCGGGAATTAGTCTTATTTCACAACGCCCCCTATCGTCAGAGCATGGTAAGAGTCAGCAGCCTAACATGTTTGCCTATGGACGTTTTTTTTTTAAAATCGTTAAAAATTCATTTTTTGTACGAAAAGCACATCCACCCCGACGTACGTTATCACTAGCTCTTTCATTGAAGCCCTCATGTCTCATTGACTTTTGAAAGTTCACGCACCGTAATTTTTCAAAATAGGTTGCACGCTCGTCATTGCCTATTATACACATGTGAAACAAGTCTAACTTTGGACTCAGTTTACCAAGCGATTTGAAGATTATAGGTCGAGCACACGAAACATAAAAAGCATGAATTATCATAGATCACTTCTGCCTATTTCATTATGTCCATTTCATCCAACCCCCCACCGTAATTTTTCCATTTAGTAAAAGCAAACATTTTTCCGAGTTTAGCAAAAACATGAATATTCATGAACGGTCAGACAATACAGCCTTTTAGTACGTAACGTATAGTGAATGGGAATGGGCGATGATCCGTTCAGGAGGTAGAGGTCAGTGGTTTGTGCTGGCAATGTTCACGCGAGCGAAAATGAGACAATCGGAGCAATATGCGCGTCCTGTCGGGCGGTCGTGTTTCCCGACCTTCTGTGAAAACATGCCCCTTTATCCACGAAATGTTGGGGTTATTTTTGTTAAATAGGCCTAAACCCCTTTCATCTACAAGTGGTCTGGTCCAATTCACCAGACACTTTGTGAAAACTTTGCGGCAGATCTACAAAAGGTCTCGTCCTAAACGTGCATCTTTACATTATTTTCCGTTTTTGTTTCACGGAAAGTGGTGTAACGCGACCACCCGACCGGACGCGATGATCCGATGAAATCGAAGTAAGCCTGCAATAAAAAAATTGCGATTTATCCGAACTGAGAGCAAACTAATCCCATCAAACTTGCAACTCCCATCTCTTTTTAGTACAGAGTTGCGATTGATATGAAGTTATGATTGATATGAATCAATCGCAAATGTGGATAAGACGGGGCCAGATGGTACCAACAAAAGTAAACGTCTTCAACAATAGGTTTCAACCCATATGATACTTTATGTTCTAATGATTTGCTAATTTGCCTGGAGCAAATATTGATAAAAAGATAAGATAAGGCTAAAGTGATTCATGTCAGACAAAATATAAGACAAGAATTTAACAGATACATAAAAACAAACGTATTCAAATAATTTTTGTGTGAAGATTCATTATCATTCAATCTCATACGTAGCATTGACGAAGACATGCGAATTCATCTATTTTAAGTTAGGGTATAGGGGGATCCCGGTTAATCAATATATTTGTAGCTATTGTGTTATTGCTAAATTTATCAACAATATCATTATTGCTAAATATATTACTCATTGTGGATGTAGTATCGAAAATAATATCGCTAGTGATATAGGCCTTGTGCGTTATTGTTCCAATTATTGATCGAATTATTGACCGCTGCGCCGGTCCTCCCGTAGAGTATAGAACACGCTTGCTTACATTAGTTTTTATCACCTGACGAAGTGTTGCAGCGGCGCACGAAACGTCGTGATCTTTTAGATTCCTCATTGACCACATTGCGAGACAAACGAATATCACTAGCGATATTATTTTCGATATTATCATTATTGTCATCATTATTTATATTATTATTATTGTTATTATCATCATTATCATTATCGTGAAGAATGTTATAAAAATTATAATTGTTATGATGATGATTATGATTATTCCTACTATTTATTATTATTATTATTATCTATATTCTGCTTGCAGTCGCTATACTTTCGTCGTCGAGCAGTCCAGCGGTAGACCGTTTGTTCTGGACCACGGAGAGGTAGGCGATCTAGATCTAAACGGACCTTCCCAATACCTGCAACTCGATCCCCTGGAAGAAACCCCATTCGCTGATGTCTTTGGACTCCAATCGCTCCCGGAATGGCCTCCCAGATGGGATAACGTTGACATGGAACTGTATAAAGTTCAGAAGGACGGTACATTTGATAAAATGTTTTGATAACTTCAATTTAGTATTCATGTTTCATTCAGTTTAAAGGTTTGGAAACGCCCCCTCTCAAAAAATGAAATGGAAGCTCTTATTACCAATCATGTGAAAGAATATGTTTTGACTTATACGTGATAGTACAAATTTTGCCGGGGAACCGCCTACTAATTAATTTTTTTTCCGTAAATTATCATATCGATCCGGCCTGCATATAAATCGTGAATGCACTTTAACATTGAACATTTTGGCATATATTTCTGTTTTTTTGCTGAATTCAGGTTGAAGTATTACCATCTTAACCTCTGAAGGCAATATTTAAACAATATTGAATGGATATTTGGCACCCAAAACCCTTGAACCGCAATTTTACCACTGCCGGTCTATATCTTTAAAGTTTGCTTTTACCGCCCATGCCCACTTAATGCCAACTAAGATGATGATGCTGTTGTTGTTGTTGTTGTTAATGATGATGGTATTAATAGTAATAACAATGATGATACTATAACTAATTCACAGGGAGAGAAAGAGAGATAGCAGGAGTTTGAGAGAGAGAGAGAGAGAGAGGCAGAACAAGAAAAGAGAAAGATAGATAGATAGGTAGAGAGAGAGAGAGAGAGATCAAATGCTCAATGCGCACTTGTTCAATGAATTCACATAAAGGCATCTGCATATAAAACAAAAGACAAAATTGTAAAATAAAACATAACGAATTATGAAAGCGAACAATAATTTGTGACGAATCACGCAGATACGTTTTGAGATCTTTATTCCAATGAATTACTTGAATTTGAATTTAAATTTGCATTAGAATCAGCCGACATCGGAGCTGGTGTCGTTGGCAACCAAGACAGCAACAACGAAAGCAGGCGGCGAATTTTCATCATACAGCGCAAGATGGTATGTGTCATTTTTAAATTTTTATTATCGTTTTTTTAAATATATTTTAACAAGATCAGACTTTCGAGAGATCATCTTAAAAAACAACAAGAATTCTGCTCTACCAATTGCATTGTGAAATGTAGTGAGTGGAAGCAATGGGAAAAAAGGTTGATCATGCATGTAGCACAAAAGATTTTACTGTAAAGTTTTGGAAACTCGTCCATTAGTTTTGTTCTGGTTGGCCTTTGAACCACTTTTGTAGGGTTTGATTTCACTTCTGGCTCCTTGTCAGTCGGCTCACTTATAGTCCTTCTCATTACATTTCTGAACATTCTTTAATTTTACTTTTGCATTTTGTGTCGGTATTGTGGGAGGTCATTTTGGTACAATTAATGACCTTAATCTGCCCATGGGCACATTGTATCTGTAAACTCCCTTATTGTCATGTTACGTATTAATGGTTCTTAACATCATGTTTTTTCTTCTTCTAATGTAACATTTCGAATTTGTTTTTGCATTGTTTCACATATTTTACTGTTTGTATTAGTTTTGTGGAACTAAATCAGAAATGAATTAAATTTAATTGAATGAATATAGTTGCTGCTCTAAGATTATTCTACTCATACGTCCGTTATGCTCTCCTCGTCTTATATAACAGGAGAAACAGTTGAAGAGATCCGTCTCTGTACGAAGTGAGATGCCAACACTCTCAATCGAACTGCTCCAGGAGTTGAGCGATCTTGATGAAACTATCTTCAGGGGGATGAACAAGAACGCATCATTTCAAGAAGCGGAAATAATATTTTCATCAACAGTCTGTCTGAATGCATCCTTCCCAACGACAGGGTAACAATTTATCCCCCACCTCCCAAAATAACAACAAAACAATCAACAACAAAAATGACAACAAAAAACAACAACAACAAATATAAATCAACCAACTAACAAACAAACAAATAAACAACAACATAAAATGTAATGGTAACAATAACAATCAAAATAATGAAGATGGTGATTATGATATTTATTATGACAATGATACTGACTATTATTACTAATATTATTGTTGATAATATTAAAGATGATAAGAATTATAATAATGAAAGTGATAATGATGGAAATCATCGTCATCATCATATCACCATAATCAATAATAAACAATAAAAACATATACTATCACAGTATCACCACATTAGTAACCATTATCATTTTTATTATCATTTTCACTACTATTCTCATTGTTAATTGCATTATATTTTCATTATGTTCATAATCATTATTTCATACCTCTCTTTAGAAATCTAGCCATCTGATTGGTCGAAATTGAACTCGTGATTTTAGCCATGCCCGTAAGGAAACGAACAATGCCAGTAACGGTCAATAGTTCATGAAAAAGCTTCCGGGTACCGGGGAAAATGGTAAAATTTTGCTTAGGTCCCCATTGGATTACATGTTTCTTTGTGCGAGCGCGGATACCATATTAACATACAGTGTGTGTGCGATTTGGTCGCTTAGCGTGTGCGATTCCCGGATGATTGTAACATTCAGGCAATATTTCCAGCGAAGATTAACAGACAGTGTCTCAGATTTTCTGCGATGTTTTAACCAATCTTTACTCAAGAAAAGGATATGGCAAGAATTCTTTGTAGATTTTCTTGTGAATTCGGTATATAAAAGATATAAAGACTACTTTGACATTGGTGGCATGGCTGTTTCTATCACTAGAAACAGCGATGCCTCTCATAGCAGTCAATATATCTATATAATTATCATTATATTTTCCATCATTATCGTTGTGATTATTATTTTCATTATTATTTTCATTTTCATTACAATTTTTATTATGTTACTTTTATTATCATTATCATTATCATAATGATCATTTTCATTACTATTATTATTTCTATGTTCATTATTGCCATTATTGTTGTTGTTGGTATTGTTCTTGTTCTTTTTTTTTTAGGCCACACGAAGTCAATGACTTAAACATGGATCTGAAAGCAGCAAGAAACGCATTCGAATTGATCTTCAGAAAGAAGAGGCTCCTTGAATGGGTAATTTCTCTTATGTTTCATGAAATTGATCAGAAAAGGGTGGGAATTAGGAAGTTAGGGAATATTTAAATTTCCTTCTGCTCTTTTTCTTTAGAAGAAGGAAAAAAAATCATAGTAAAACTTTTTGCAGGTGATTTAGACTAATATATTACATGCTTACAAGTTTCGAGTAATGCTCCCTCCTAGGGCTCAGAAATACACTGGTTAAAACCATCTATGCCCCTGCCTAACCCTAACCTTAATTATAGCCTAACATTTAATTGCAATATTCACCCTATAACTCTGTAACTTTGACGAAATAAAATCCGGAGAAAAAGACCATTCTCATTAATGTAAACAAATTTATTTCATAATTCTTTGTTAATTGCCATGTTACAATTTTTTTTCTTAACCTGTTCAAATTTGATGCATTACAAAACGGTCCATTGGCACCGAAGCTAAATCGCGGGTCATTATGTCATTATTTAATAGATATCGGAAGTCGTGCGCATTGACCTGTGCAGTTACATTCAACTTGAGCATCGGTGTGACGAGGATCTTCGTTTCTACCTCATCCTTCTAGAGTGTCCGGTCTTCAGGTATCCTCATTTTGAGTGGTGCCGGAAGGTTTTGACCGCTATAGGCAGGTTGATGATACATGGTAAGGATTACTATGACTCTGCTATTTCCGATTCAAATTCACCTTTAAAACTCGCTTATTTCTAGCCATGTATGTTTTTAAATATTTCAGAGAAAATTTTTAAATCAAAGAAACACTTGCTGTTTTTGTTTTGCTTGTTAAAAAAATATAATATTTAGATTTATTAAAACAGCTCAATGATGTAAACTGCTTTCGTAAAAGAAATCAGATTTAGGCTAAAAATGTTAATTTTGGTAACAAAAAAGGACATATCGGTACAAATTTTATTAGCCCGATAAAAATATAAATTATTGCATATGTTTATTTAACGTTCATCTCAATTTATAAAAAAATGTTTTTATCTTCCCTTACTCAAAATCGTAATGCGTGCATTAAAATATTTAACGCAAATGTCGCCTTTATGCGAATTCCGTGATTTGAACTGAAATTATTACAACTTGCGAGTGGGCATCTTCTCACGAAACCGTCTTTAATACAAGTTCGCGGAAAATCCATTGGAAAAGCACGTATATAAATTGACACTCATTTCAATATGATGTCTGTGAACTTGTACTGATGAATGTTTCGTGAAGATATGCCCAGGAAGCCAATGACCTCAATGTTCGGGCACGTTTTTTAATTTTTTAATTATTTAGATACACGCTTTCTCAACATTTGAGTGACAAATTGATTAAACTGGGCGGAAAAACTTAAACCATAGATTAATTTTGCTATCATTTATCTAAACTTCATGCGGAGATTCCGGCAATGGGAATCATTTGAGCCGACTGGTCTGCTGGTGGAAATTCGAACCCTTGTCATTTCGCGAGACAGTCGTAACCTATCGGGAAGCTGTTGGCACTTTCGTAGAAATCCCTTCGCTCCTAGACCTTGAAAAAGATGACTTCAAGATCTATCTAGAAGTACTGCAATGTCTCAACCAGGTAAATACCTCTACAGTTATGGACAGTAACAACCATGATGACGTATCCAGGACTCTGCGACAGGGGGAATGGGGAGAGGTGCCCAAGTCAGTAAATTCTATGGCAAGCCAAAGAAAAAGGGCATCGGATTTTTATTGCGCGTTTGGCAGGCAAACAATAATATTAACAATAATAGCTCATATTTATAATGCGCCTAATACTTTGTTTCTAGGCGCTGCACGTATTATAACCCCGGTCATCGGATTCAGGCTTACCCGCAACTCAATCAATGCTGATTTTCCACTCCCTGGGGAGCATACCAGCCAGTCGACATTTTACAAGCCATTTCACAAACACAATGAAATAATCATTTAAAAAAAGGCCATATGCATGATGAGCACAATTTTTCCCCTCTGGCCTCTTTCCCCAACCTTTTTGTTTGATTTTTAGGGATTTATTTTTGGGGGAGGGGCACGTTTACCTAGCGCCCCCTGGATCAGCCACCAATATTTGAACATAAGAGCACAAGCAATACAACATTTATATATCTTTGAAAGTTGTAGTTACTATACAGTCACATGGAATCTTAAAATGGCCCATAATTGGCAATATCACTGTGTGGTAGTGGTGGACAACTCTCCAAATAGTTTAGGTTCCAGTACAAAAATATGACCGAAAAATCTTTTTTGTTCAAAATGTATGAGTCCTTCTAGGTGCAATGGCAGGTCGGCTTTATACGACAATATTTATATTTAGTTTGTCTTAATTTGCTTCAGATAAATATCCAGCATGACCTCGTTTCTATTAAGACGTTCTACATTACCGATCTGACATTCGCCGACCTTATAAGTGCATTAGATCACTTCATGCAGCCTCGTTGGATGGTAAGACTCTTTCGGGGAACTACGCCAAGTATTTTCTTATTCTGCCCCATAGATATGATCATGAGCCAAACGGAGGCATTTTGTTTTTCGGGAAAAATACATGTATACAGCTTAAAGTGGAATTATCACGATCGAAACTACCTATGAAAACAAAATCAATAATACGCTTTCATAATTATGATACATTGATCGAATAATCCATACCCATTTAATTGAGCAACATTGTTTTGTAAATGGCATGCCAAAATCGATTTGTGCAAGATTTTGTAAACCTTGAAGACGTAAGGATCACACGTAAACTTGACGGAAGTTTTACCAAAGGATATGCACGTTATCTCACAATGACGAATTTGCCTGACCATTTACCATAGCTTATTTATCTACAAAATTATATCAAGACGGCAATGCCAGAAATAAGGTATAAACGCCAATTAGTAAGACTGAAAAAGGGGATTCTTAGACTTTTGAATAAACATAGGTATAGCAAAAATTTAAATCAAAAGTAAATTGAACGACAGGGCCAAATCATTCAAGCTGGAGAAGAGAAGACAAAATAAGTTTTGATGCTGGTCTGACCGCCATAAAAATGTGTAGCACAAAGTTGTATGGAACCAGCGAAGGTGACAACTTGGCCAGTATGACGTCACACTTCGGTACACTATCCTGCTTCTTTTTACTTTTTTCGTCCCGTTGCAGCGATCCCAGGAATTGTCTTTGATGTCATATCCATTCCTCATTGATCTGAAAGAAAAGGCAAAACTGTTAGAATACAATTACAGGAGACAGCAAGAGGTAGGCGTCAATGAACACAATTTAAGTGTGTGTGGGCACATATATTTCAGTCGGTGTTGCGACATCGATTTAGTGATTATGATAATTATAATGATAATAGTAATAGTAATGATGATAGTGGTAATAATGATAATAATAATAAACATGATAAGAATGATAAAAATAAAAATGAAAATATATATTATACTAATTTGATTTGATTTGATTTATTGGTTTCTGCATCTTTTTTCTTTTTTCATCATACATTTTCATGAACATGATATGGTTTGATACAATATTTTAAGTGTATATAATTTAATACAGATAATAAATGAATTTAAACAAATATATTGAATGCATAATTAACATACATTACATCTACAGAAATAAGCAAGGTAGCTTGACGTGCCCGCAGCCCTCAACTTAGATACAACAACAATAACAAATAAAAATAGAAAAGACTGACTTGCAGAGAAGAAAAGGAAAGGGGAGAGAAGGAGCGTTGGTAATAATACAATAAATCTCGTACATCATGATTGAATGCAGGTTCATTCATGAATGGCTAAACGATGCTAGGTCATGGACGATTACACATCATTGTTGAATATACAGTCAATGTACACACGAACATGAATACAGAACAATTACACACGAAATGATCAATACTTAGACAATAACATAGTTTTAATAATAATACATAACATTTATTAGGCGCTTAATACTGATGTTTCTAAGCTTCGTGATTAACTGCCTTCTTAAATGAATACAACGTCCCAAGGTTTCTTATTACAATGGGCAGAGAGTTCCAGATGTCTGGGCCGGCGTGTCTTATGGATTTGAGAGCCAATGCGGTTTTTGGATTTCTTAAAAAAATGGAATTTTTCAGTTTGCCTTGTAGGGTAAGAGTGGATGTTTTTATTCAAATTAAACAATGGGGGAAAATATGAAGGTACTAGACCATTTTGTAAACGAAACATGAAAAGTGCTATTTGTAGAATAAATATATCATCAGCTTTTAGATTTTTTAGTTTTGAAAACAAGGGATTAGTGTGGTCGCGATAGGAAGAATCAGTACATATACGCATTGCTTTGTTTTGTAACAGTAAAATGGTGTCAACGTTACTTTTCGAATTTGCCCATATAAAGTTAAAATATGAAATATATGGCAGTATTAATGAATTATATAACATAAACAAGATATTTGAAGGGACATAGTATTTCAATTTACAGATAATACCAATATTACGTGAAATAGTATTAGAAATATATTGCACATGATTATTCCATCTCAGATTTTCATTGATAAAAACACCAAGGAATTTTGTGCTATCCTTTTTTCCCAATAATTCACCATCCAAAGTAATTTCAATGTGAGGAATATCATTATTTTTTCTGTTCTGAAAGTATATATATATTTTGTTTTCTTTAAATTAAGAGACAGTTTATTACTTCTAAACCATTTTGATAATTTTGGTAATTCAGCGTTAATAATTTTTTAAAGGATCTGAAAATCTGAATTGGAACAAAATGCATTGGTGTCATCAGCAAATAAAATATATTGTAGTGCATTTGATGAATTATAAATAGCATTTACATATATCAGAAATAACAAAGGGCCGAGGATTGACCCTTGTGGCACTCTACACGTTATAGATAATAATTCTGATTCATTTTAATCATAACGTACATAACATACATATTGTTTTCTAATGATAATAATAATGATAATTGTCTTGAAAAAAAATAGAACAATAATAGTAATAATGATGATTTCCAATTGCTCCAAACAGTCTATCTCACAATACAACATTACGAATATAACTAAACTTTAACTCTACAACTATTATCTTTGAACAATTTTAAAACTTATTAGATTGCCATGGAACCGGAAAGGGAAGTGATGGTATCCCTTATGGAAAGGCTATGGATGGAACAAATGTTCAACCCTTACATGAATTTGCTCCTACCCCCTCCAATGCCTAATCTACACCTTGAGCTCGTCGTAAAGCGGGATGACCTCTTTGGGGGGAGAGTCCGGGAGCAACTCGCAAAGATGTTTAGTCTCCCCAAGTCTACCCTTCAGAAACCTCTCATGGTCTTCTTTGAAGGGGAAAGGGGTGTTGACGAGGGAGCACTGAGTATGGTAAGTAATTAGTAGGATAACAGATTGGATATGGTAAAATAATAGTGTGGTAAAGGATAATTGTGGTAAAAGATTGGATGTGGTAATATATTAGTGGGGTTTAAAAATAAATGTGCTGAGGGATACGCATCGTTTAGTAAGGGAAGGGTAGTTTGTAAGGGAATGGTGTGGCAAATTTTTAGTATGGTAATGGCATAGTATGGCAAGATGTTAGTATTGTGAGAGATTAGTGTGGTAAGGGCTTAATATAAACGATTAATATGGTGCAAGACAGTGGGGGATCCAGGGGGGGGGGGGGGGGGAGGTGTGCACATTTTCAAATTTTCAAGGGCCAAACAAAAAAGATGTGCTCACTCCCCCCTTCCCCCCCCCCCCCCCCCCCACTGAGCGAATTTTCGGCCGGCGCGATTTTCAAATTTTCGGGAGCAAAACAAATAGAAAAATTGGTCGTGTTTGGTATTGTAATATATAAGTGTGGTAAAGATTATGGTAAGTGATTAGTAATTTAAAGTCATTATTTTTGTAAAAGGTAATAGTTAGAGTACGATAAATTTCTGTTTATATGAAGTGATTAAAGATGACAATGATATTTATAATGATAACGATGACAAAAATAATAATTATTATTATTTTCAATGATGAATATCGTCATTTGCAATAACAATGATAATGATAATGATAAAATGATAATAATAGTAAGGATAATAATATAGTGGACATGTAGCTGAGATACTCAAATGCATTGTGGTATACTATTATATTGGCATTAGTCCACCACAGCACAGTTGAGTATATTAACATGTATGTGAGCAAATGAGGAGGCATCTTAGTATAGTGGTTCATTCACTTGACCAATGGTTGAGGGTTCGAATCTCAGCTCAGTACTATCTTCCTTCGGCAAAGCATTAATCCACATTTGCCACCTCTTCACCCAAGTGTAAATGGGTGCCTGGCCATTGCTAGGGTACTATTTATTGCATTGCAGGGCAAACATCATCTTCATTATTATTTGTATTGTTATTATTATTGATATTGTTAAAGGTAAAGACCAGTTATGGTCATGCGATTGCATTGTGAAAGAAACATTGTGGAATCGATCAGAAAAGGTTGATCATCTAGCATCTAGCATCTGCAAGGTTCTGGAATCATCAAAATGATAAGGAATTTGGCCCATTCTTCGTAAAGTTACAAGCACTATACACAGAAAGATGTATATGGGACTACCCTATATCTCTCACAGATCATGAGAGAAACAAATTTACCAAATATATGAATTAGTAGGCGGTTTCCCGGCAATTTTTTTATCATCATGTATTAGTCAAAACATATTCTTTCACATGATTGGTAATGAGAGCTTCCATTTCATTTTTTGAAATAGGGGCGTTTCCAATACTGGTCTTTACCTTTAATAATGTTATTATCATAATTATTATTATGAACAACATTTTCGTCCCTTTACATCTCACAGTCTACTGTCATGTAAAATTACAATTATGCTTTTGTCATAAAACCCTTCTGTGGATTCTATTTCGATAAATGAAAGGTGACAGCATCTTTCCTAAAAATGCAAACAATAAAATAGGTAAAATTTCTCCACATGATATTTCAAAAGTTTAAAGTCAACTGAAGATATAAAAATTAATATAAAAGGAGATGTCTCAATTATTTACGAAACTGTTATGTAATAACTTATGAAATTCATATTGTTCTTCTTCCGCAAATATACGACTTTGCATTGTAAAATTGTATTTCCCTGCTGGAACTTTAGGAATATTTTCGACTCGTGTTTGACGAACTTCTGGACCCAGAAAGGAACGCCCTTTTCCGATATATCAACGAACATGACCAGTCCCAGTCACAAATCTGGTTTAGAGAGGTAATGTAATAAAGTCCGGTGTGTAAAGTCAATACGAGTCGACCTTTTTCTTTTGTTATACGAGCCTTTTTCAGCACCACCCCCCCCCCTTTTCAGCAAAAGTCCGGTGTGTAATGTCAATACGGGTCGACCTTTTTCTTTTGTTACGAGCCGGACATTTTGGTAACACGCATGGGGTCCGCCCGTTCTCGGAGTAGGGGGGGGGGGGGCGGGCCCTTTATAGAGAGCCTCACATTGGCTGAGGATAAATGTTGGTAATGAAATTATAAGTGATGTATTCAATCGTATGGCACAAAAAGGAAAGAGCATATTTTACGCTCAAGTTGAGTGTGCACTATCTATAATTTCGAAAAACTCACGACTTGGTGTTTCAGCCTTAGATTGGATAAAAGGTAAAACAAGAACAACCCCACTGAACAAACAGACGACATAAATGTGAAAACAATTGAATAGAATGACACGGGCTTACTTTTTATGATATATAAACTATAGCTTTATCAGTTTAATGAAAAACTTACATTAAATCAGAATTTCGAAAAACCAATATAAGTTTAGATTCAATAGCCTTGTGCTAACAGATTATATAATCATTACATAATCTGAATATGATTAGTAGAGGCAATATATTAGGCATTTGAAATGCTCTCAAGTTTTGTCTTAAAAGTCCACGCGATCGTGATCAAAATACTTCATTGTTCTATTAAAGCCATACTGTATTAGAACAATTACGCAAAATCCCATCAGGCCCTATAAATCGCTGCTTCCCTTCCTGCGCTGTTAGTTCGTTGGTTCTCACAACCCTTATCAGGACAATTACCCCCTGGGCAATCACCCCCGGAAAATTACCCCCCGGAAAACTACCCCCGTAGGACGATTACCCCCCGGAAAATTACCCCCCGGAGAATTACCCCCCCCCCCGAGGACAATTACCCCCCAAGGACAATTATCCCCCGGAAAATTACCCCCCGAGGACAACTACCCCCGAGTAAAATTACCCCCCGAGGACAACTATCCCCCATGGACACTACTGGGCATGGTGGCTCAGTGGTTAAAGCGCCCGCCTCATGAACGGGAGGTAGTGGGTTCGAACCCCTGCCGAGTAATACCAAAGACTTATAACAATGGGACCTTCTGCCTTCTAGCTAGGCGCTCAGCATATAAGATTGGAGAAGGATAGTAATAACATTTGATGATATACAGGGCCCGCTGGAAGAGCAGTTTCATAACTGAAGTGACTACCCTGGGTAAATAAAACGTTAATATTATTATTGTCATTATTACCCTCGAGGACAACTATCCCCCAGGAAAACTACCCCCGAGGACAATTACCCCCTCCCCCCCCCCAAGGAAAACTACCCCTCCCCCATTCGAGGACAACTCCCTCCCCCCGAGTAACCCCGGAGGACAACAACCCCCAATGACAATCAACCCCCGAGGAATTTATGACACTGTGAGGTATAACGAATTAAGCTTCTCTCCAAATTGCTATTTACAGAAAATTGCATAAACCTTCATTTTCTTTGTTATTTACGAAGTTAATTTCAGTCGTTTTAAATTATTCCATTCGATATGGGGGGGGGGGGGGGGGGGGGGGGGGGGAGGGTGGAGGTTGCCCAATTCCCCTGTAGTTTTGCTACGGAGTAAAGAACAGAAAATAAATTTCTTAGAAATTGAACAATACTTGGCGGCAGATGAGTATGCGTTACAGCCTCTCTCACCATCAATGGCACAACAAAGAAATTTGGATGTAAGATTTCCTTTATGCATCCTCTGTAACTTTTTTAATCAGCTGATCGTGTATTTGTCTTTGTATGTATAATGGGCCCTCAGCCATGCCATGATCCATAATCAGGCGCGTACGCAGGGGGGGGGGGGGTTTCAACCCCCCTTTAACATTTTTAATGTGTACGTTTTGCATGAACCCTCCCCCCTCCCCCTTTGGTTTAAAAAAATAATAATAATTTATTTAAAAAAAAAAAAAAAAAATTTTGGTAATTGGTGACCCAAAAGAGCAGACCTCACCCCCCCCCCCAATATCGATTTTCAAATTCTGGGACACACACACACACACACACAACACAATTGCTCTTACCCCCCCCCCCCCCCCCCCGCTTATTCAGCGGTCGGCTGAGTCGTAGCGATTTTTTTTTGAGACAAAAAAATAAATAAAAAATATGTCGACTTACCCCCCTCCCCCCCTCGCTTATTCAGCGGCTGGCTGAGTCTTTGCGAACATTTCGGCCCGATTTAAAAATGTGAACCCCCCCCCCCCTTCCACCTTGAACAAATCCTGCGTACGCTACTGTCGATATCTAAGGTTTTCTTCACGTTATCTATTTATTTATGTTGTCATGCTGAAGTATAATATGTTTTCGTGTACGTTAAATTATTTTGAAATAGAATTTGCCTTCAAGTTATATGTACGGTGCCATGTCACAAGAAAAAAAATATCCGCTCTCTGGTAATTCACCTCATTTGATTTTGTTACTCCAGCACAGCGTTTTTTAACCGGGGTGCCGCAAGAGAATAATTTGGAAAACGTTGATTTTGTAAAAAAATCAAATACCAGAAACGGTTAAAATATGTAATTAGATGAGAAAATAACAATTTGAAAGAAGATACTAAATTGTCTTCCTTCCTCGCTCACTACCAATATTTTGATAGCAAGGCAAGTAAGGGCAACGAGAGGCCCGAATATCCTCATATTTATGTAACAAGGTCATGACCGAATATATCACTTTTTATTTATGTACATTCGGCGGCAAGGTGCCCGCATACAGTACTTTAAATAGTTTCTAGTGTGTGGATTACAAACTAATTTTTTACCAGTTTGAAAATGTCTTCTCCTTTTTTTTCTTAAATGTGCCCATACGTGTGTGCATAGCACTTGACGAGAGCCAGAGTCGTGCAAAATAAATAGTCTGTAAAGACTTTGGGATTTGGGAGAAACTTTTCATTTCTTAAGAGGGTACCGTGACTAACAAAAAGTTTAATTAACGCTGCTCCAGAGAAATGTATTTCTCTATGCATTTTGAAAAGCGCTGGACAATTACCTAAAACTTACATCCTTCGTGTAAATTAGCAACCGCACTGGCGTTGCATAAATTATAATAAAAGGGATATGTAATGAGGAAGACAACGTGCTATAGTATTTGAAATAATATGGGTTCATGCAGGGGATCTTATGGGCTCGTAACCATCTCTCAATATGTCAGATCGTCTTTTGCTATTGAATCCTGATTGTCCTTGGGGGTAGTTGTCCTCGGGGGTGATTGTTCTCGGGGGGTAATTATCATCGGGGAGTAGTTGTCCTCGGGGGTAATCGTCCTCGGAGGTAATTGTCATCGGGGGGTAGTTGTCATCGGAGGGTAGTTGTCCTTTGGGGGTAATTGTCCTAGGGGGTAATTGTCCTCGGGGGGTAATTGTCCTCGGGGGGGGGGGGGTTATTGTCCTCGGGGGGTAGTTGTCCTCGGGGAGGGGGGGGGAATTCTCCGGGGGGTAATTGGCCTTGGGGGGTAGTTGTCCTAGGGGGTGATTCTCCGGGGGGTAATATTCCAGGGGGTAATATTCCTTTGGGGGTAGATTTCCGGGGGGTAATTTTCCGAAGGGTGATTGCCCAGGGGGTAATTGTCCTAGAACCAAAACAAGTCCTCTGTCTACGAAGTGGGAATTAGAAATTGGGTTACGCACTGTTGGTAAGTTGACCATGAGATGACGTTGTGCAATAAACAGTACGCTAGGGCAGAAAGTCCATCAGTTAAGTATCGCTTTCAGTTTTTACTAAGTACACCATTCCAAGCAATTAGTATTTGTTGGTGTGCAATAAGGCCTTAAAAAAAAAATGTTGTTTTGCTTTGCGACCGACCCCAAAATCTTGAAATCTACGGTCGGCTTTTAATTTTTTTTTAAACCGTTTTTTAGAAGGAAAAAAACAACATTCAAAACTGAGAAATATCATTCCAAAGAGGGAGTAAAAAAAAAGAGAAGATTTTCGACCGACCGACCGACCCTTATTTTGGCACCTATAAAGGGCAATACAATTTTTTTGTTAGAGATAATAATTATTTGTTTATAACAGGAATGTCACAACAACGATACACCGATTATGTGTGGTCTACTGTTTGGGCTGTCATTGTTCAACAACGCACTTGTACCATTGCCAGCTTTCCCACAACTACTCTATGCGAAGCTGCTAGGAAAAGGGTAGGAACAGTTTTTTTTTAAATTGTACAATAATTTTTAGAGGTGTCGTGGTCATTGGTTAATCCTTAAATAATTAAGCACTTTCTTCTGATAGTTCAAGATGAGCTCACTTTTATTTTCTTATGGCTTTCGTCAATTACCAATTTCCACTTGAAATTTGTTATTTCAATAACTATTTTCATTTTTTTTTTTTTAATTTCAAGCAATTTGTTTTGACATAATGCTTGTTATGCCAGGCTACAACATAATATTGTTTGCTAATACCAGGGTCACCATCTTAATAAGAATTTTGTTTCAATTCAATCGCTACTTAATTATCTACTACTTACTTGAATTTCATCTAACGATGCTTTTAAAGACAAAGCTTGTTCGTCGATCATTTGTAATGAAAACAATTTCTTCACCCTGGCGAGTAATTAGCATCAAATTCAACTGCATATTTGCTTTTGCAAAGAGAAATTCCCCCCAAAAAATGTGATAGGGGTGTGGCCAATCAGAATGAAATGCACTTCAAGGGTGACATGAGTCAATTACCCTACTGATTTATCAAGGTCGTACACAAATGCAGCATTCATCCATGGTTTATCGTGCCGATTCTGAAAATAATTCACTGAATGTACTGATCGATATCACCACCATTAGCTGGTAAATCGGTACCAATACTCGATTTGAAAGAAATTTGTTCACACACTTAGCCTTGCATATGCTGCAAATAGATATCAATGGCCTCTACCTTTATAATTGATTGCAGAACTTGATATCAATCCGGATCAATCGAGAGGGATTTGGAGACAAGATCCTGAAATACATTTACTTTACATAGCGCATGTCTGTTTTTTGTTATGCTTGATCTTAAGCCCCGGTGAGGAAATGGAGGAAATTCGAGAGCTTGACAAGGACTTCGCAGATCAAATGTCGAAACTACTTTCGACAGAGGAAGAGTTATTGAGTGAGCTGGAGCTAGAGCTAGAACTACGCAATGGAGACAGAGTCGAGGTCACCAAAGCAAATGTGTAAGAATTTTGTTTAATATGTAGACACGATCGCAAAGATTGTCGACAAGTCATCTTTGGGTGCTTTATCATATAGTTTGCAGGTATCAAATCCTTTTAGTCGTAACAGTGCCTGCCGTTACAGGCTGACATCATACTTAACGTTCTGTACTTGAGCTGAGACGCAGCCAGATGAACTGGCCTTTCAGTATCCTCTACTTATTATTATATACTATTATAAGAATACTTAACTGTTTCCAGAGCATGATAATTCTATACCAGTGTTGAAAGGGTTGCCCTTAGTGGAGCTAATCAAGACCAGAAATTGGTAAATATGCAAAGCCTTTGACATTTATTGCACATAAAAATACTTCGGTTGCGTCAATTGCTGATGCCGTCGTACATTCATTAGCGCCACTTCTGTATTAAACGGCCATTACTGTGCATATGTGCACCGTTAACATTTTATCTGCCTTGTTTTTCTCATAGACACCTGTATGTGAAGAAGAAGGTACGAGATTACCTTGCTCCATTGCAATTTGACCGTTTCCAACAAGGGTTCGACAAAGTTTGTGACACCAAAGTCTTGGGTATCTTTAGACCTGTCGAGCTAGAAGCCCTCGTCACTGGCGAGAAATATTTCGATTGGGTCGCCCTCGAGAAGGTAGGCTAATGGCAGAAAAGCAAGCCTCCAAAACTATAAACATCAATCCGTATTCAAGGATGCATATATTTTCAGAACACAATAACTAAGTAACTGTATAGTTTGATGAGTTTAGGAAGTTGAATCTTGAAATACTTGTTTACTGTGGTCCTACCTGTTTCAAAAGAATGATGGTCCCTTTCCTGAGTTATAAAGAATTCAAGCGGTAAATATCTGAGAGGAAACTTTATCGCTCTTATCTGTGTTAGCCGAGGCTCACCGCGCACTCACAGTGTTACTGCTCTCGAGACCAACATTCCACGAGACTGACAATAGACGGACATCGTCGGTCTAGTTGGCTGTCAGTATTATGAGCCGTGGGTCTCGTTTAGTGTCAGTAAAGGATAACTAAATTAAACGCATGAATTTGCCATTTGCCAAAACCATTAATCTCTCTGAAAAATATTGGTCATGAATTTGCCCAGCACGAGATTAATAAAGATATCCATCCAACCAACGTTGGGCATTTTCTTTACTCCATTTAAAAGTAAAATTTTGTCCGATTATAGGCCGAAATATAGAACAGTTACTTCCAAAAGTAAAATGCCTAAAATTGAGGGGAAACATAATTACTCTTGATGACACTTTTTTAAATCCAGTGTTTTTGCAGTTGTAAGTTCATATATTACGTAATCTGAACATGATTCTCTTAAGCAACACAACATGGTGTTGACATTGACCTAAGTTGATATATCAAAAGTCTTTTCAAATATTTGACATGTAGACCATACGCTTCACACAATTCTTTGAGACCTGAAACTTTGAATGCTTTAGAATGTCTGAAATGGATAATTTACAGGTGAAAAGAGTAGGCCTAAATTTTAAATTTCATTGTCTCCAGTCTACACGGTACAAAGATCCCTACACAGACTCACATTCAACCATCAAGATGTTTTGGGAAGTCTTTCACGCTCTAGACGATGACCAGAAAAGGAAGTTTCTAGGTAAGTGGGAAACTTTGGCTGAGTCTTGATACTCTATGTTAGTACATACACACCTTTCTCCTGTTACGCCATCAAAGGCAGGCAATATGCAGTCACCCCCCGGTCTGCCTCTCTACAAAACTAGAAGCTTGACTTTCCCCTTTTTCCGGCACCTGTTATCTTGCTCTCCGTTTGCCCAACGATTAACTCTTTGACATCTTTCTGCCGACATCTGATCAACACCACCAACAACAAACAAACACAACTATACAAAAAAAAAAAAAAAATAATAATGGTAATAACGATAATAATTATAATAAGAAGAATAATAATGATAATAACATGCCTTATGTGATGTTATGTCTTTTCCCAACCATTCCCCGATAAAGTTATTAGTTGTTAAATTACATTTATCCTCACCCGGAGACTCTCCAAGTGACTTTTGTGGCATTTCTTGATGAATGACGCGTATGCTTTTGCAGACTTGTACATCCATTAATGGTATTTCCACAAAGTCTGGTGTCAGCGAATATCAAAGCTACGTTTTTTGTGTGGGCAAAATTTACAATGCATGCCTGTGCTCCGTTTTCATGCAGTATTTGTGGCGGGGTCTGATCGCGTACCGGTCGGTGGATTGCAGAACCTAGGTCTCACCATCGCAGAACTCCAGATCCCCAGGGACGATGCCGTCGACGACCACGACGACGAGGAGGCTAGCGAAGACAGGTTGTCGAGATTGTGTCCAGTGGCCCACTGCTGCGATAACAACGAGTATAACCGCACACTGGATCTTCCTATGTACACGAGTAAAGAGCTCGTCAAGGATCGCTTGATGGCCACTTTGTCGTTCTCCAACTGCCCATTTCATATTGCCTAACACGACGAATACAGAAGGAGGGAGAGATCAACTGCTTGGGCGAAACCCCTTAACCCATTCCCTACTGGAAACTGGTAGTTCCTGTTAAGCCATTTGAAATTTGGGAGTTCAGCAGTTGACGGGTTAAGGATCCTTCATGATGACGCGGTAATCCGCTGTTTTTTGGTTCTTTTAAAAACATGACTTTTGTATTGGTCCGTAGTTGAAAGTATAATGACATATGATTCTGTAGTGTGGTATAATAGTGCCAGAAATAAAGACCAAGGAAAAGTAAAAACCATTGTCAAACAAGCAGCCTAAATAATGAATAGACCAATGGAATTTGATGAGGTTTGTAGAGACAGAGCAGTATGTGTACGGCTGTCAAGGTGTCAAGGGATTTAAGTTACCCCTGAATGAAAATTATGTCAGGTTAAGAAGTGGTAAAAGGTGGCAGTTGAAGAAATCCCGCTCTTCGAGGTACATGAAATCTTGTGTTCCGTACTCTATCCGTTTGTTGAATGAAATGTAAAATGTATATTCTTTTCTATTTTATTGTAGGAAATGATCACACATCTATTTGTATTCATGATAGGACAATTATATTTACTTTCTTATAATAGCCATCTTCAAGTTTCCCAAATGAAATGAAAAGGCTGTTTTCTATTTATACTCATAATGTCATAATATATTCCTTGTTTATTCATAATTATTTCATACTGACTTGAATATGTATTCATATTGCATACATACTGCACTGAGTGCACTCATATTTAGGTTTCATTTAAAGGGACAATAATTGTTGTGGATCTATCAGAATAGGGTATTGCATTCCCATAGAAGATATGAACATTATTTGTAATTTTCTAGGATATAATATACATGGTTATTTTCCCACCATATAGACAATAATCATAATAAATCTTTTTGATTGTTAAACTGTTTGTGGTTTATTATCATAATGATATAATGAGTCAAACGAATAATAATAACAATATACATAATAATAATAATATTGTTAATATTGATAATGATAATAGTAATAATATGTTATATTACTCTGGATATATGAACAAATATTGTCAATAATGTAAATTAAGAGGAAATATATATATATATGTAATGAGAATGTTATGTATGTGATGTATGTTTATTCTCTCTATATACTCGTTTTATGTTGTATGTATCATGTCACATGTACATTTTATTTATTTCTTTCAGTGAATAATGCATGTATACGCATCGAATTTCCTTTTGGACCAATACAAATTTGAATTTGAATGAATATGGCAAATATGGATAATATGTTATTTGTCTGCGAGTGGCAAAGGCCCAACGCGTATTCACTATTTCTAATAATTTAAGATTTAAAAATAATTAATGCATACACGCAGTTACGTCATTGTGAGGAAACAAAAATGTCCGTTTATCCGTCAAATGTGACAAACCCTTTTAAAGGGAAAGTCCACCCCCAAAATAAGTTTGTTTCGATAGAGGTAGAATAATAAGAAAATCAGGAGAGTGGAAGTTTGAGCAAATTCTGAATGAAAATAAGAAAGTTATGAATTATTGAAGTTGTGATCAATCAAATACAAATTGGCAACTCTGTGACTTATTATACGAGCTCTCCTTCATTTGCTTTGTGCATAATATTCCATAAAATCATGTTTTCTTCGTTATCGATGACGGAATATATATTTGTTCCTTGCAGGGGGAGTATAGAAACATATTTGCAATTATTATATTTAGGGTGCATGTATGCTTGAAATTTTTCTTGAGGGAAAATGAAAATTTTAGATTTTTTTAGTACTGAGCAAATGGAAGTTGAGCTCGCATGATACGTCATAGAGTTGCCAATTTGTGTTTGATTGACCACAACTTCAAAAATCCTAACTTCCTTATTTTTAATCGGAATTTGCTCAAACTTTCACTGACTTGTTTCTCTCATTTTTCTACTCCTATTAAAACTAACTTAATTTCAGGGTGGACTTCCCCTTTAAAGTTGGAGAGGCGCGCACCCCTTTTAGTGGGGGGCTACTCCCATAGCATGCATGACTGTAAACGCCTTTTATTTAATTACCTAGGTACAGCTAGTGACTGTCTCAGTTTACGTTCTTGTATTACATATATTGAATGTATTCAGCTAGATCATTTCACATTCGATTGCTTTCGTCGCCTCTCTGTCGGTCGCTTGTTTGCTAGACGTGCAATTTTGCACAAGTCATAGCCACCAACTGACCGAAGTAAGGCTATGCAATACCTTTTCAGGTCTTGATTGGTTCTATGAAAACCTTTTTAACACCGGTATAAATTAATCTTGCACTGGAAGCATTGAAACAATATTGAAGCCTTCGATATATCTATCTCACGATATAAATTATGGCACAGAGAGGCAAAGTTATCTGAAGATATATAAAGATGACTGGTTGATCCTATGAAATATATTAACTAATGTGAAATGGAGAGGATCTATAATTCCTCTTAGAAAAAAAAAGTAGATTTCTGTTTTATTTCTTCCAACGCTATTTTGAAAAAGACTAATGAAATTTAAAGTAAATACTGAGGCAAATTCTTATTTCATCGCATAAAGTGTCTAAAATTTTCGATGTTTGCACACAATTCCATCCTTTTTTATATCAGGAAAAATCTCTTACTAGTTGTCTTTTTTTCTTATACAAAGCAAAATACATATCTAGCGATGTAAGATCCCGAGTACTGATAACAAAATATATTGCTGCAATATTTATAGCATAAAAACATGTATGTGTATTGTATTTATTAAACTTCATTGATGTATATCAATACTTTGTTTATAAACATATATATAATATACCAATTTACAATGCAATGTAACAAATCAATATTCTGTTTGCAAACATTTATATTATATAAATCAATTTGCAATGCAGTGTATATAGCAAAACAGAAGGAAAATTATATACAGCACAAACACTCTTTTTGTTCTTGTAATAACATGACATAATATTATGCATAAAGTAAATAATATAATGTACCATAACTCATGCTATACAAGATAGGTAAATGAGATACATGGAATGCCCAAAATAAAGGACGTAGTAGTATATGCGACCTTTGGTAAACTTAAACCAAAAACATAAGATTGTAAATTTTTACTTTGTAATTACATAGTATCTAAAAGTAACCCTCACTGCAATTATGTTTTTGATGAGCGAAGAAAAACTATCTGTTAAATCTGTGAATACCTATTAGAGAAATATTTTCATGTTGAAATGTATTAATCACAACAAAACATACTTTGATTTGTGCGCTAGTAGTTCTACGTTGTATTATTTAGTTTCGAAATATTATGTTTAAATGACCCCGAAGCAGAATTATTTAAATCAAATATCACATCAAACAAGAAGATATCAATGCATTTGTGTGTGTATTTTTATGCACACTATACATTGTTTTGAAATACTCGAGATCGTGTTTCTCTTGCCTCTGCGTTGTTGAAAATCTTTTAAACAGACATAAAACTGTCCATATTAAATATTAACATGCAATAAATGTAGTCGTTTGCTTTAAACACTGGTTATCAGAAGACGGAGTTTTGTTTCATTTGTGAGTGCTTACTTCCATCTGTCGGACAATATTTTAGTATAGAAGAAGCAGAGCGTTTGATTGAGAACAATTAAAGGTCTTACAACGTTTTGGGATGGGGTCATGAATTTGGTTCAAATGAACATATTAGAAGCATATGCGATTTTACAATATTCAATGATCGTTGTCGCGGTTGAAATCGAGTCTAAAGTGATGAAACTGTAAATAATAAACTCTTTATGTTGAATAGCGCCCTCTCAAGACTGATATTACTTTAGCTATGAAACAATGTTTATTGACTACAATCGACCACCGGATTGCTTTTCCCGTTTGGAAATTATATATCAGAACTGCATATTCTCTGAGATTTTCATGGTCGCATCTACCAGTGGCCTTAGGCGCTATTTAAAATGTTTGAAATTTACCGGGAGCACCGGTAAATTTTTTATTATTCAATTACTCGAAAGCAGAAGTGTTTTAGGGGCTACATTTTCTAGTGATCATGATACATCAACAGGAGCATTCAAATATATCCAAATTCTAAATAATTACTATCAACCCAATTTTCATAATTTCCCAAACTTTGCATTACCTTTAAGAAGACGAGATCACAGATTGTTTCAGCGCGGCAAGTCGACTTGTTTAATTAGGTCGAGTAGAAGAATTGTTGAGGACGACGACAAGGCGTGATGATTAGTTGTTGAAGTCGACTTTTCTTTAACGAGAAAACAAGACTGATCTCGGCAAGTCGAGATGACGATATTATGAGCAAACCGATTTCTAGTCCAAACAACTCGTCACCTCGTATTCTCGTCCTATAAATAAGTCGACTTTAAAGACACATATAGAAGTGGGGTCTCATAACTACGGGTAGGCCTATAATCCGTCACCGTTCGGGTGTTTACCCAGCAACAGGAGTACAGGACCCTGTTTCATAAAACTTGATATCAATAAGAAGTTACAAGCTATTGTTATAAATACTGAAATCATGGCGTCTGATTGGCTGAGAGCAAATTTGTCATAGAAATTTAGCATTTGTTATAGATAACCATTAAGTTTTATGAAACAGGCCCCTAGTGTTGTATTTCTCCAGGATTAGCCTTCGGTTGATGGCCAACATAATATGTAATATGTAATGCTCTGCATGTTTTATCCATTCCCCCACCACCCCCCCCCCCCATATGGTAAAGTCGTTATCTTACATTTCTCTTACCCAAAGGCTCTGGGCTCATTTCTTGATGGGACTACGAGTTTGCTGTTTGTTTCGACAAACCTCCTTTTGTCTTTTACAAACCAAGGTTTGTAAAACGCGTGGAAACGCGTCGTATGACGCACATAAACCTCGGTTTGTCGACAAACCTCCTTTGTAAATTCGGGCCCTAGTGTCTGCGAATTGTGACTTTCTGCGCATGGAAAATGACGACCATCTCTCTTTTATTACCGAGTTCCGACAATTCGTCATCTCGTCTGTTGACTGTTTTTTTTCCTCATAATATCTTGTCCTAATTTCGGCACTTGTTAAGTTTCCATACATAGGAGAACCAGACGTGTTAGACAAAGTATCTGACATTGGCAACAGGCACATATTTGGGAATGCGATAATTGTGTGAAAGCATCAATTTTCTTCTTCTTCTCATTTTGTCTCCTCTTTGTTCGCTAGTAACTGCCCCCATTTCTTTCTCCCCCCCCCTTTCTGGCATTCTCTCCTTCCTCATTTCCCTTTTCTCCATCCCTATTTTCTTTCCTCAGCCTCATGGCCACTGTGCACTCCTTTGTAATACCTGTCTGATAATTCCCCGTTTATATTCACTACTCTGTCACTCTCTCCCATCTGATATTACGCTACTCTTTTTTTTCTGTCATGCGTTCCCCTCTTGGGTGTCACACTCTCCTTTTGTCTGTCTGCCTGCATAGCCACCCCCTCTCTCTCTATCTCACTCTTTCTTTCTACCTCTCCTGTGCCCCGTTGCATCAAACTTACCATAGATAGTGACTTTGACATTGATGGTAACTTCCATGGAAACTTTAAAGTGATGTTGCCATGGTAGTTAATATTAATGACAAAGTTACTATCAGTGACAAGTTGGTTTAATGCAACAGGGCCAACTCCCGTTGTCGATCCCTTTCACATTTCTCTTGAAATCACACACCGTATTTGAAGAAAAAAAATCAATTTAATTTCAAATTCGTGTTTTATTAATATAACTATAAAAGCAAATCAAACAAGATTTCACAATATACAATAATCTTCAATTTTTTTTTTATGGAATATTTGGGAAATGGTATTACACTTTAACTACAAGTAACCAACAATGTTAATAGGAACCTTATACATATTCATGCTTACATATGTTAACTATGCGCTTGATAGACGTGGAGATGAAGGGAAATTAATTAAAAGCACATCAGTCATAGTCATATGTAAAACTTGATTGGGTTGTTTTAATACTGTTGCTGCTTTTCGTGCGTAATGAAAGGCAGGAAGGTTCAATTAAATAATGTAGAATCAAATTGTGGTATATATGGGTACCTGTCTGGAGTTGAACCCGAGACTTGCCCTGGGACTTGCCCCGGACAACAAGGGGATTCAACCGTCATGCACTTCTAAGCACCCGAAAAGCAGCAACAGTATTAACATTTATAAAAATACCAATAAAAATACCAATATAAAATATATATATATATATATATATATACAGTGTATATATATAGTTCATATTGGTATTTTAACTAACCAAATAAAACAGACACTATGTTGGGTAAAAACCCAAGGCATTTAGCATTTAGAGAATATCCGAAGATTAATAAACTGTGTGGCCTAAAGAAGTTTTAAATGTGCCTAAAATAGTTGTTAAATCAAGCCAAGCAGTTCTTTATCTGTCAATAGAATAATTTCTTATGTACATATAGATGGATAATTGCGCTGCGTGCAAATTGAACAACAACGAAACACAAGTAGACAAGACATCCGATCTGAAAAATATGAACGATAGTATATGTATATTGCCAAACAATTATAACACACAATGTTAATTTGGTAAATTTATTCATAATAATTTTTAATAACAGATATTTTGTGAGCTTTCAGCCTCTTCTTTTATTGTCAGTTTGAAAGAAAATCCTGGTAATGTGTTCCTGAAAAGAATCGCTCTTCAAAAGCCTATCTGTTTTTTTAATTTTAAATAAAACAAATCAATTAAAATCTGATGTACAGAAATGAAACAGCAAAACACACCATACATTACATGATATAGGAGTATATTAGAAGAAAACATCTTCATGAGAAAAACAGGATCGACTTCTAGGCTAATTTAGGAAAATGGAGGGGGCCTTAGGGGGCCTTTTGCATTGTGTCAATTAATTTATAATAAGAACAAATTTTTGAGGCTTTAGCTTTTTTTTTCATTGTCAGTTTGGAAGAAAATCCTAGCAATGTATTCTTTGAAAAGGATTGCTTTTTAAAAGCCGTTTTAGATGGGTTTAAAATACGAGACAAATATTTGACCATAGTTAAAATGACCGCAATTTCTTCACTGACACTGTGCATTACATATTATAAATTTGTCATCATTTTTTTTCTGAGCTACACATAATACTGTATAAGAGCACCTATACAGAGATACTGGAAATTAATATTGGAAATAACCTGGTTCCCCTACATGAACATAGTCCGAAAGCATAGACTCTCATTTGAAACTTTGTCACAATTCCTAAAGTCTAGAGCGGAGCCTACATGTAGATACGTCAAGAGTCAGGACTGACTGTGTCTGGAGTATCTACAGTACAGAGCCAATTGTCTCATAGAGCAGACACTGTTACACACGACTGATGAGGGTTTTTGCCTACGTAATTAATAACATGCACTGAATAGCAGTACCTGTCAAATTCCAACAATAGATTTTGTGTGTATTCGTGGCCATTGGTGGATCCGTAGCATGGCAACAATATATTTATTAAAGTGTAGTAATTAACTAGTAATTACCTAACAACAAAAAATATGTATCACTAGGTGTATTGCCTGTAATTTTCTTTTCTTTAGCCCCTGATCTATCTGTTCCTAATAAAAATCTTAAACTTATTATCAATTCTTATGCGTAATCTCTTTTCATCATTTAAACTTATTGCAATGGATGGAATACAACAGGGGTACTGACATTACCCTCAAGTTGCTTTTCCAAAAGTCTTTGATATCCTAAGTTAGAAAAAGACCGATCAGGCAGTTTGGGATCTGTCTGGGTAGCTGCATCCTCAGTTGGGCATCTGTTCTTCTGTTTTTTAATGTATCTCACTGCGCCCACCGTCACCTCTCCTGCTGCAACCAGACCAGTGATAGCTGCTGCACCCCCAATACCTACGCCAGCACAAGCAGTAGCGGCTAATCCGCCTGCTGCTCCAACAGATTGCAGTACAGCCACAGCACTCCCTGCAGCGACTCCACCTCCGCTTGCAATGGCCGATGCTGACATCATGGATGCACCTATAGAGCCGGATGCAATGCCAGCTGCAGTAAAGCCCATGCCTGCTAGTACGAAAGGCGCTGCTACAAAAGTTCCAATACCGATGGCAGCTGCCCCTGCGGTAAACCCAATAACATACTTGGCGACTTTCTTGGCTTTAGCATTCGGATCTTTAGGAGCATTTGGACCTTTGCCAAAATTTCCCCCTGCCCCTCGATCTGTCCCTGAATCTCCGCCATGATCTGCTCCTGTACCTCTTCCACAAGGAGGTTGTGCTGATGTGCCATTCAGTGGCTTCTCATCCTCCTGCCTGCCTTGGTTTGTATCGGTGCCATACAGCAAGGGCTGATCTTCTTTCCCTCCTTTCTCGTCTCTTGACACGGATGCCTCTGGTTCTCTCTGGTGATTCTTCGCGTTCTCTGCTGCCTCCATCGATGCCAGCTCTAGCTCATCCTGACTTAAGGTCTGGGTCTGACAATCTCGAACAGATTGGAGTCCTGTCCAGGACGACATCTTTCCTGTACTTTCTTTCTTTCTTCAAGCCGCTAGATCACCAAAGGAATGTACACCTTCCCTGATGGAAAATTAAACAAAATCAAACAGTAGTTAATAGTAATTACTCAAAAAATTCTGATATTTTTGTGTGAATTATGACCTCGGAAAACTGAGTACAGGCAAATACATGTATGTACATGCACTTGGATTGGCAAACAGCAAAAATTGAAAAGCAAACATAATGCCCTAATTGTTCAATGCATGGCACTGTGTACAATATGTCTTGCATAGTCAACCTGCTTTTGTTCGACATGTTTTGTGTAAAGTAATGCCGTGGATCAATTATCTTCAAAATCCACCATCCAAAACGCAAACATATGAAATACATCAACAAAATCATTACCGGTATTTAAATATTATATATCTACAGCTTGTTGACTTTGCAGTATATTCTTAATGCTTTTGGCTTTTGTACACACTGCCACAAATGGAAGAATAACAACACTTTATTGACTGTGTGTTATTTGTTGTTTTGTATTTGCCTGTACCGGTACTCGGTTTTTCTGAAGTTGTACCTAAATGATGACAATAACATGTTCATCTGGAACTATAAACTGCGCTTTATAGTGCATTTTATGCATGTTATGCCCTACAGCCTTCATGGTCATACTCGGACACATTATGCATCATCTCCACTGCATTGTAGAGGTGTTGTGGTCGAGTGGATACGTCGCCGGACTGTCGATCACAAGGTCCGCGGTTCGAGTCCCGCCGCCGCGCTAATGTTCTTTGGCAAAACATTGATCTACATTTGCCACACTCCACCCAGGTAAAGTAAATGGGTACCTGGTAGGAATTGATTCCTTGAAATGCTAGAGCGCCGTATGGCAGCCGTGCTAAAGCCAGGGTAATAATCGGGAGCGCCAGGAGGGTCAAATCTGACTGACATGAGCGCTATACAAGAACCCACTATTATTATTATTATTATTATTCCTAGCTTTCTACCAACCATACGGCCGCAATGAGGCCATACAAAATGCTAATTTCATGCATCATCTCTACTGCATTTCTAGCTTTCTACCAACCATACGGCCGCAATGAGGCCATACAAAATGCTAATTTCATGTATTCACAATGGCTTTTGACATCCTACTCTCTCCTGGGTACGGAGTGGAAAATACACTAGGAAAATATAGATTAATTTAAATAAATATATTACCAGAGTACATCAGTGCCTAGTGTCTGCTTGGTGAAGTTTAAAAAAACTTACTTTCTCTTTTGACAAGGGATTTGGTGATGCTAGACGTAAAGTCTCAGCGGAACAAATCTCAAAGTCATATTATAGAAAATTGACTGAATTTTCAGTCTCATCAGTGGATCAAAGTATAACCGAATGCCATCAAAATTGGGAACATTGATTCATGTTATTTTAAATAGCATCTGTTGAACTTTTCCCTTACCAGACGATTATTTCTGTATAAATTTGTACACTGTACGTGTATTTTTTAATGATTGGACTAATTGAAGACATTTTATATGATCGATATATGATAAATCAATAATAAAACAGTCAAAAGACTGCAAAGTGCAAAGTGCAAAGATCAGCCCTACACTCAGTCTCTACAGCCTTTCCTACCTCAACTGTACATAGACAAACAAATCTGTCTGTTTGGAGGAGTTTTTTAATATTATGAGATTGGGTGAAACATTATATGTGTATAAATAAAATAGACAGATTTTGTTGGTCTACCACCACACTCCAGCGAAGCATAGAGAGTAAACTAATACACCTCAGCGAGGGCAATAGTAAGAATTACCCAAACGAGGTACCTTTGGAACAGTCTATATCGCCTCGGGCGTTTGGACTGTTTTGAAGGTACCAAGTGTGGGTAATTTTACTAATGCCCAAACAAAATGATGTGTATTATTTGTTTTATAAGATTATGTTTTATTTGTTTTATAAAATGATGTTTCCTAACATGATTTTGATAATTACCGGCCATTACCCAAATTACGCGCGATTACGGATTAGGCAAAATAAATACCTGGTCATGTTTTAGACAGAAATAACCGTCTGATATGGTTAATTTCTTTAATAAAACTGACATTTGTTGACATTCTGTAATCGGAGGTCTAGTGGAGCCAGACGTAGTCTCAGTGGAACAACAACGATAGAGAGACTGAAGCTTTTGGTCTAGTCATGTATATGCTTTCAACCAATCATTTGATTAGGATCCACGTCATCATCTATCAATGCTAATGCGTATTGACCTCTAGCACTGTACTACGTGCTGAGGCAGCAATTGCACACATGAATAGTCAATACACTTATTGCACACTAATGCAAACAATGAAGATGATGTGGCTGATCCCCAAGTTTAACATTAGATTTTCTAGACTTACAATTTGAATTTTTAAATTATTCTTTAATAACATCGGTAGACCCTAGTTGAAAAAAAAAATGGATTTTACTGCTCTTTAGATAAGGTGTCATCAATATTGTCACTAAGGTACCAATGTCTTGTGAAATCAGTTCAGTTTTGCACAATGGTGTTTGAAATGATGAGAATCAATAGCACATCTTTTAATACACATGCACAGTCAGAAAAGTAATGCAGCTAATACCGCCATGCACATGCGCCACTGGCACTGCTGCATTGTGTTGCCTGAGCTGATCTGAGCTGAGCTGACTTACCGGGTTCGACGTGTAGCCGTCCGGCACCGGCCGCTTAGAAATTAGATGCACCTCGTCCTCGGCACCAATAAGTTTGTGTCAGATTCTGGCGTGAAAACTCGTGGAATGTGCCCTGAGAATTTAAATTTTAGGTTAAATATAATCCTCTCTTGATGCAGAAGTCGTCAAACCAGTCAAAACTAACTGGATTTATTTTCTCGACACGGGCGGGTTCTTTGACTTTGGTGAGTTGACGTGCCAGTTTCAAAGGTTGCCTAGCTCCAGCTCCGCCACACTAGCTACGTGATTACGTTTGTTTGCATTTGCGCACACCCGGTACCGCAGAAAGTAAGTCCCTGGTTTTATAGACCCTGGCCTAGCGCTTAGCGGACGGTGTGCCGCTCTAATGGCCTTGTAATGCGTCACTTTTTCACGAAAAATCTCTAAACATGGGTCCATTTTTAACAAAATAAAATATCCATGGGCCGTTTTTTCAAAATTATGAAAATTGTGCTTTAATTCGAGAAAAAATCCCCCATAATGCCTCTGAAAAATGGGTAGGGGTTTCGAGGGGAGGGGGGGGGGGGGGGGGGGGGGTCCTATTTTTAAGGAAATATGCTGAAAAATGTATTCAAATTATGTCAGAATTTAGCCTCAAACAGCCAAATTATGCCAGACATAATGCCAAATGCTATAGAGGGTTGACCCCCCCCCTTGGTATTTTTTATGTGTATATTTAAATTGAAAAAAAAAAATTATACCAATGGCTGACCTAAAAAAGTTGACCTTACCCCCCCCCCCCCCCAAAGGAGCAAAATGTCAATTTTTCAAATTTCGAGACATAAAACAAAAATGTGTACTCTTACTCCCCCCCCCCCCCCCCGCTTGACGCTTCATTAAATTATTAGAGAAAGAAGGAGGCGTTGCACCGTTATCGCCTCTGGATTTTCAAAAATGTTTTTTTGTCTGCTCCTTTTCTTCCTACGTCATCCTACTTTTTTTTCTCTTCTCTCTCTCTCTCTCTTTTTGGACGGCGTTTGTTTTGGGGTGACCACCCCCCCCCCCCCCCACCGCCCCCTTTCCTGGCTACGCGCATGGCTTGAGCGGCACACCCCTGTCCAAATCAAATCTTAATACCGCACCCCCCCCCCCGGGCTTCATTTGGGATCATGTCAACGTCACTTCTGATAAATGGATTTTTAATGATAATCAGAGAATTTAATGTGCATCAATGAAGAAAAAGAAAATCAGGGTAATTTAAATACCCTATTGTATCGATAATTATATAAAAATCACTAGTTCTATTGTATGCCCGAATATCAACTTTCCAGATTGGAAAGCAAGAAAACAACATAAATCACAATGGCAAGGATATCTTATCAATATTATACAAATAACAATTCATAAAATGATATAGTCTACCCAAAATATGAAATATATAAAAATTTTGTTGGTCTATGTTACCCCCATCCAGGGCCGTAGCCAGAGTTTGATGTTGGAGGGGGGGGGGGGGGGGGGGGCACATACATGTAATTGACCGACGTCCTGGGGAGGTGTCTAAAAAAGTTAAACCGATCTTGTTTTTTTATGGGGGAGGGGGTATGTGCCCCCCTTGGCTACGGGCCAGCCCCCACCCCCTCCCGTTTTCCCGCACTATACGCCTAATGTCGAATGGCATGAGCATTCTCTATACACGATCAAGCATCAACCGAAATAAAGGGCCTGAATTATTAGACTAATAAATCACTTCCTGCCTGGGAATCCCAATGCGCTATTTTTAGCTTAAAAGCTAACCTTGAATTGAACGTTAGATATCCTGCATCCAAGTTGTTCCAAATATCATTATCAAGGGACGAAACAGTGTGATATTTGAAGATAAAAATAATAGCCTCCACTGCATTTAAAAAATAACTGATATTTGTGTAGCCACTCTGGTTGCGCTGATATACCCGGCATTGCTCTGTAGTAGAAAAATACACATTTCCTGCGCCTTTACACGAGGCGAACATTGTGAAGGCTGTCAGATGTGTTGTTTGTCGTGACGTCAGGGGGATTCCCCGTCTGGCCGCTACGTTGACTATAAAATAGCGGTACATGTGCTTATGTACATCGCGATATAGCAGACCCAAATAATTCGAAAATAACAATCAATATAATATTCGGAGTACTTCAAGTTCCCAATAACATCCTAGCTGGCTCATATTTGGGTAGCTATAGCGAATCTGTCCAAATCATTTTATGTGTTGTTCTGTGCATTTTATTGATGAAATATTCTTACCATAGTGATTTTTCTTTCCTTGTCAGCCAGACCTAAGATTATAATCTGGAATACCCCTCCCCCTAAACAAATTGAGGGGGACGTGTGCTCCCCCCCCCCCCGCCCCCGGGATCACCGCCACTGCTAATGTCGACTGGCATGAACCATCCTCTATAGAGTAAGGTCTGAATTATTAGACTAATAAGTCACATGACACCCTGTCTGGAAATCCCATAAAGTAACCAAACCTTGTTAACAATGATTGCAAAATAGATGTACGTGTCCTTACATCGCGATATTATCATTGCGCAATGTAAATGTAAAGAAATCCCAGTCCTTGTTTATCTCGAGTATGAATATCATGTTTCTGCACTGGATGTAGGCCTACAGGCAGACGCAGGATAGATAGGTTTCATTTGTGATTTGGCTTAGTACTCGATCAATTCTGACCGAAAAGTTTAATCTACAGATAAGGAGAGAGGAGACGAAAAGTGAGAGGTAAGCTAAAACAGGTATTTCAATCAAAATGTTTATGTTATTTATGTGTATTATTCTACTGTAGGGCCCCGTCTTGGTATATCGCAACTATGTTCATGAGAGATAGGAGACTGTAAACTTGCAATCAACTCTTTATAAAACAGGAACCTGACGTGGAGATAGTCATCCACTTATGTGGCATGACGCATTGCTAGCAGGTTACTCCGCTAAACAGGCTACTTATAGAGATGTCGTGGTCGACGGTGGATACGTCGCCGGACTGTCGATCACAAGGTCCGCGGGTCGAGTCCCGCCGCGGCACTAATAAGCGCTTTCGGAAAGACGACGGGAGAATTCACTCAACCGAGATCAATTATTATATATGCAGTTAGGATTCTGTTTATTGTAATACATGTACTATTATTTTGTACTCTTATCAGGTGAATGAAATAATGTGTATTGAGACACTTCACAAAGACTTGTGCATCAAATTTGGTTACAAAAAAAGTCATTACGAAAAAATCCTATTGTTAGGCGATACAGCTCTTCCGTAGTTAGGGAACGAACGCTTTTATGGCCGAGAACGGTCGTGAAAATCAACAAGACGGAGAAAATTCTGGTTCGCGCATTCGCAGATTGATTGTTTCGCTCGGTTATATACCCTCGTCTTTGCCTTCCGTCGTGTTTGCGAAAGCGCTCTATATATACAGGTTATAAATGAAGACGGGAGCATAGTACAGGACGATGTCGGTTGAGTGAATTCTCCCGTCGTCTTTGCTTCCGTCGTGTTTGCGAAAGCATTCTAGAGTCTTTTGGCAAGATATTGTTCTACCCTTGCGACAAACCCAGGTGACATAAATGGGTACCTGGCAAGAATTAATTACTTGAATTGCTAAAGCGCCGTATAATGCCCCCCCCCCGGCCTTATTAGGGTTAACACGTATCTTGTGAGGCCCCTCCCACTGTTTGCTCTGTACTTTCTTTCCTTCCTTATATTTTATAGCTGAACATTCGTAGGCCTATATTGTATTTCATATCCTACGGTTGTTTAATTTTCGTCTGCACTTACCAGCAACCAGCCCCTTGATCTCCTTTGTTGACTACCTACCTGATCTAAACCTTGAAGTTTAACGCTTTAAGTTATCCCTGTGATTTTAACCCTTTTCTGGGAGATGGGGATCGAGAGGGAGGGGGGGGGGGGGATACTGAAGCGGTGTGTCCGGACAGTTAACACAAATAACACCTTTACTATTTTTTTGCCCTTGGATTAATTCATCAAATAGCACTAATATTCATGAATATTCTGTTCTTTATCATGTCGTACATCATAATTCTAAAACAAGATGTAAGAAATGTCACTGTCCCTGTGTACTGTCCTCTTAGGTGCTGAGCAAGGAACACTAGTAGAGCTAGTATTTCATTAACAAAAAAAAAAGAATTGTAATGCGTGGTCTGTCGTCCGCAGGTTTTTTTATTAATCCTTTCTCGGTTTGAAGAAAACTTATGGTGCCACTTTGCTCTGCTAGAAACAAGACAATGGCTTCATCTGATCATTTGGATGATGGTGATGCTATCATGATGCTCAAGAGGACATCTTTAGAGGGCTATCCGATCAAAGATGTCTGCGGTAACCCTGAGTGCGTAGTCATGACAACCTTCAATGGGCGTGTCTATACTTGTGACCCGACGGGTGTTCGCAAGCAGGAGAATTATGGTGAGAAATTGATAATTACTGAATAATAGGCTTAATGCAAAGAGAAAAGGGTTCCCGGAGGCAATGGGTTAAATATTTTTTTTTATCCAGATTGTTTCATAATGGAGCTTTCACATATACACTCCGGGGCCCGTACGGCGAGTAAAAACAGACATTTTGGGAATTCTCGGCCGGCATCCGGCCGGTTGCCGTAAAGTTTCTACTGGCGCCGGGACAGTTTTTTTAAGCCGTACGGGCGCCGTGGTGCTGAGTTGGCTGCTCCCAATTCTCCCGGCGTTTTTATCTGTCCGTTAGGCCGTAGAAAGCCCGTAAAAGGCCCGTAGGGCACCTTACGGGTCCCATGCGGGCTCCGGACGGTGCCCGGACGGCCCCTCACGATTTGGGGGGTCAATTCTCATGAAAACAATTTTCGGGCCCCTTGCGGTGTTCAAGGGTTCCGTACGTGTACCATACGGCGCCCTCACGGGCCCCTCAAGAGACCCGGGTGATATGCACAACAACAGGCGTCTGCCAGCTGGGGGCCATTTAAAATGAATATTGCCCGTGCGGGTCCCTCACGGCGGTATCTCGAATTGTACAACGCATTTTT